CCAGTGCCCCCCCCCCCCCCAGAACAGGTCCTGCGTGCACAGCAACGTGCCCAGGCAGGTCAGTGTCAACCGGCAACCGGTTCCAGGCCCCACCGGGCATGTGGGTGCATCTGACAGGCACTACTGAGCACCTACTACATGCCCGGAGCTGTTCCCGGCACAGGGTGACCGGCAGAGAAAGAGCCAACCCCTGACGGTGGGCCCAGCCCAGCTGGGGGAAGGAGACCCACACGCTCACCATGAGGGGAACCCGCGGCGTCCACCTGCTGTGGGAACTTTGGGAAAAACAAGGCAGGTGAGAAGGCCAAGTGGGTCAAGGGTTCCAGAAAGCACAGGAACAGGAAAAGACCCAAAGAATGTGTGGGAGCAGGGGACAGGTGGGAAAGAAAAAGGGCCCGAGGCCACGCACCCGCTGGGGTGTCTCCAATTTCTGGTGTTTAACGAGGGGATGCCCTAGTGAGGACAGTGGGCTTCCTAAATCTCAGGTTCGCCCGCTGTGCCCGAGCTCTTCGAAGGGGTCTGGGGGCTGTGGAGGATGGGAGACCCAGCCTAGAGCATGGCCACAGGCGGGCCTCGGCGCAGGGGACACCACGCACTGCCTACGGGCACCTGGGGACCCCAGGGAGAACAGGGCCAGGCACACGGAGCGCGAGGAGCTGGCCAGGGCGAGGCACACACAGGGCCCCCGCCGCCCGCAGCCCCCGGCCCCCAGCCGCAGCGCCCCGCCCGCGGCTCACCTGCGCCCCCGCGCGCCCCGCGAGGACGGGGGCTCCCCGTCTCGGGCCGCTCGGCCCCGCCGCCCCGAGTCCAATGTCCCCCGCCCGCTGCGACCGCCCCCTCGCCGCACTCACCGCTTACTGGCGCGACTGCCCCCGGGGCCGGCGCGGGCGGGGGAAGGGGCCGGGGCGCGCGACTCCCCGGGTGCATGGGCTCCGTCCGCGGCGGGTGCGGCTCCGGCTGCGGGCGACGGGCGCGAGCGCAGGCGGCGGACACTCACCGGGCCCGCGCACGCGCCGCCTTGCGCCCGTCCGTCAGCCCGGCTAGGTCTTCCATTGGCTGTGAGCCTCGGACCCAGCCCAAGGACCGCCTATCCCCGCTCCGGTTGGCTGAGCGGCCCGCCCTTCAGGGACCCCGGCGGGCGGGGCTTCCGGGAGCGGAAGGCGCGGAGGGTGGTGCCGAGCTGGTTGGCCCTCGTGGGCCGCGGCCGAGGGGGCAGCTGGGGCGGGGTGGGGCGGCGGTGTCGCCACTGGCGCGGCAGGAGAGGTGCGGAGCTCGGGCAGGGCGTCTTGGAGCGACAGCTTTTCCGGGAAGGAAGGCCCGGACTTTCCCAGAAACAGGCCGGATCCCGGGAAGATAAAGACCGCGCGGAGAAGCGAGTCGGCGGCCGGGTGTGGGCTGGGGTGGGGTCTCTGGGATCCCGCTCGAGGTCCCCGAGCGGCTCGGGAGCCCCGCGCCGGGCTCCTCCGCACCTGGACCGCGCGCGCCGCCGCAGCCGCGCCCGCATCCTCCGAGGTCTTCTCTGCGCCGCGCAGCCCACCGATGGGCCCGGAGCGGAAGACACCGTCCTCAGGGAGGGCGGAGCCCGCGGGGTCAGCACAACGGGCGCCCCACAGGATTCTGGCTGGAGAAGGCAGCAGGGCCGCCAGAGCGAGGATCGGGCGCCAGGAGCGAGCCCGGGCTGCGCCAGGAGCCTGGGATCTTCAGTGGCGGGGGCCCCGCTGCCCTGCACCCCCTTCCCCGCAGGTGGTTCCGGGAGGGCTGCTCTCGCCCCCTCCCAGAACTCCTGGCAGCCTCGGCGGGGACCTTGGGCAAGGCGCGACCGTGCGCCCAGCGGTAGGCGGTGCTGGAGCGCCCGGGGTGAGCGAGGGCTTCTGAGTCCGCGGACGAGCGAGTCCGGCTGAGATCTTGCCCCTCACGCCGCACGCAGCCCGGGCAGGCCCCGCAGACTGCCGGCCCGCCCCGCTTCCCCCAAACCCGAAGGCCCAGCGCTGCGGAAGCTCGCCCTGTGGTCCGATTAAGAAACGGTGCCTCACAAATCCAACGCAAAAGTTTCCATTGGGGTGTGAAGCCTCTCCCACCCGAAGCACAAACGTGTGCTAAACTGTCTTCTTTCAAGACTCTCAAAAAAGGCATGTTTCTCACATTTTTTTTAAACTTTAAAGTAACGCATAAACAACCTATCTACAAGAAAGAATGGCGTAGTACACTTTCAGGCTCCGCCAGCACCCCCGCCCCTCTCCCCCAGGCCCCCTGCTCTTCCTCTGAGCTCCCTGGAGGACCGCGCCCGCCCCCACGACGGCACCGACCCCAGGTGCCGTGGCGGTGTCCGGTTGGCCGTGCGGCGCACTGTGCCGCGGCCGGAGCAGACCCCGACCGCTCCCGACGCGCGTAGACCCTAAGAGTAAAGGCTGATGAATGGAAGCGAGCGGCGGCGTCCCTGTGGGCGCGGACCTGGCCTCTCCGGCAGGTATCCGGATCATCACGCCCCTTGTCCGCAGGCGGTCCTTCCCCACAGCGCTTCCTTGACCGTGGCCTGGGTCTCACTTGCTGGCGGAGGTAAATCCCGCACTCGGGACGACACTCACGGGCGCCTCACACCTAGGAAAGGTGGGCGCGAGTCTCCACCACAGACCGCCTTTGCGGGGGACTGACACCGGGACGGACTGTGCCTGCCCCCCGCCATGACGGCGTCTCATCTCCACTCCAACTCGAGTGGCGCCCGCGCACGAGCCGGGCTGCACCTGCTGGTGGCCCGGCTCGCGGCCCTGCCCCGCCCAGCCCGCCCTAGCAACCGTTGCTAAGAGGCGTGGCTCGGCCCCCAGCCGCTGGGGCGATACCGCGGCTCGTGAATATTTAATTATTCAAATGAGGCACGGCCCCTCCGTTGCCATGGCGTCCAGGTCCCGCAACCCCGCGGTCGGAAGATTCACCCGCAATGGGAGAGAGCGCCCGGCGGCGGAGGGCGCCCCGGGCAGAGCCCGCAGGGCCGGGGCACCAGGACGGAGCCCTCAGGTGAGAGCCGAGGGCGCCTTCGAGTCCCGGGCCTCAGGCTTCGCTATCTTACTAGGGCCAGAGGGGAAACTGAGGTCGGGACGGGCGCGAGGATTAAGCAGCAAAGCCAGCGGGCGGCTCCGCGATATCCCCAGATGTTAAATCTGGTCCCCGGAGGGGCCTGGCCGCAGCCCCCGGCCGCGCTGTGACCGGCTCAGCCCCTGGGCCTGGAGCGGCCAAGCCCTGGCCCTCGGGGAGAGACAGAAGCAGGAAACGGACTCCACGGGGAGGGGGGTCCCAGTGCTGGCGACCTGGGGGAGACTAGACCCTAACCTCAGAGCCTCTCCCCAGTGGTGAAGGGTGGAGCGGCGGAGGGGACCCAGAGACCCGCCGCGCCGGCCCGGGGCCGCGCCAGCCCGGGCTGCAGGGACAGGTCTCCAGCAGGGAGCGCTCCCGGGGCGGCGGGCGGGTGGCCACAGGGCCAGGAGCAGCGTGGGCAGCTTGGGGCCAGTGCGGGACCCTGAGGGGACCGTGCCCACGTGGGAGCCACCGCCCTGCTCCTTGGACCCTTGACATTTGGACTAGACTGCACAGATCCTCTGGGCCTGGCCCAGGGGAGGACCTCGGGCTCCTCCCTCAGAGCTGCCTGCCGGCACCTGGGAACAGGACCCCACCAGCCTCACCCTCCCCACTGCCCGAGGCTGGCAGGCGCGGTTGGGGCAGCTGCACCTCCCTGGGCGGGGGCGGAGGGGTGGGCTGTCCTGCAAGGCTGAAAGGCTGGCAGCAGAGGGGACTCTTGGAGAGAAATCCCGGCCAGAAGCTCCAGGAGACCGCCGGGCGCACCCGCAGGGCCTCCGCCTCCCGGGCCTCCCGTGTGCAGGCCGCCTGCAGGGCAAGGCCCCTGAGACACTGGGGCCCGATCAGCGAGCCCCAGGTCCCAGCACGCCCCCCGCCTGTCCAAACCCAGCCAGCTCTGCAGGGCCGGGTTGGGGGTCTGGGACCGTGATGAACTCTGAGTGTCCCCTGGGGCTGACAGGCTGCGCAGCGGCACCGTGAGCTCCTGGGGTCCGTATCTGAGCGCCCCTCTGTGCCCACGGCCGGCGGGCAGCCGAGCGTCCTGCCCACGCAGGCCCACCTGTCTTGGGGCAAGGAGCTCGCTCCACCCAATGGGGCGTAAGACACAGGGCTGTAGACCGGCCAGTCTCATGGAAACGGTCAGTCCAGGAAGGGTGGCAGGGAGTGGGGCTGGGGGCCAGGGAGCCTCCACCCAAGATGGAGGGAGGCAGCCAGGGCGTTGCAGGCAGACGTGCGGGGCTGGCCCTCCGATGACACCTGGGCCTGGGGCCGGGGGCACCGGAACAAGCAGGCACTAGCGTTGGGAGGGCCCGGCCCCTCCGGCCCACCTGCCTGTCTCCCGCAGCAGCAGGGCCGGGACCCCCACCAGGGTGGCGGAAAGCACCCAGGCCGACAGCCCCCACCACCCGAGCTCACGCGCACCCCTGGGTCCTGTGACCCTGGCCCAGCCTGTCTGACGCCCCGGGCACAGTGACCCTACTTCCTCTTGCAGGTGCTGCCTGAGGCCACAGGCCACCCCCTGTCCGGATGTTTGACCCACTGAGGGGAAAGGCTTCTGCCTGCGGGTGAGGGCCCCAGGGACACAGCTGTGGGCGGGGTGAGCGCCTGAGACCCCAGCCCTCAGCCTCAGGCTCGCAGGCCGGAACGGGGGCGGGGAGCATAGCGCAGGGCCCGAGGCAGTGCCTTGCTGCCAGTCACAGCAGAGCGGTCTGGAGCCAGCCCCGCCCCAGCACATGGACCCTGGAGGACCACAGGGAGGGTGACTTGCCTGGACAGGGGGTGTGAGCCACTGCTGGTCAAGGGGTCGGCGAGGCCCCCAGGCAGGCGGAGCAGGCGAAGGCCCCCCGGGGAGCCTTCTGGGGGGGGGGCGGGACCGGGGGGCGGTGACACACGCACCGAGCCGCCCTGTGCCTGTCCCCGCAGGCTGGGTGTGAATGGACCAGGCCCAGGACAGGGCCCATGGGCCTCGGCCCGGCACGGCCAGGGTCCACGTGCGGGAGCTGAGCTGGCAGGGCCGGCACAACCCCCGCCCGCAGAGCACGGACGCGGACAGCCGCGGGGGAGACCCGGGCGAGCGGCTGGTGGAGGAGGGCCTGGGGCCTGCCCGGCTGGTGAGTGCGGGGCCGGACGGCTGCGGGCGCCTGCGTGGCGTCGCGTTTGGGGCCTGCGTGCAGACCGCCCGCTGACCCTGCCCAGCCAGCCTGGCTTAGTTCAGGGACGGGTCCCCTGTGCGTGCCCCACCCTCAGGGCAGACCCCAGGTGCTTGGTGACACAGAGGTCCCCCAGGCCGTCAGGCCCCGGGAAGGGCTGAGCTAGGCAGGGAGTCCACAAGTGTCTGCCGAGCACCCACCGTGCCCCAGGCCCTCACGCCCCCTCTGTGAATGCAAGAGGGGCCCCTCGCCTGGCAGCGGATGTGCTGGAGGGAGACAGGGCCGCCAGCCGCCAGCGCGCAGCCTGCGAGGTGCACGGTGAGGGGAGTGAGCGAAACCACGGCCTGCTGGGGTCAGGCCGAGCATCAGGGGGGCTGGTGAAGGCTTTGTCCCAAATCTGGGGGGAGTTCCCTGTCGCCCCCCCCCTCCTCCAGCCAGCGGCCTCTGCAGGGCCCTTTGGCCGCAGACCCCACCCCGGTGGCCCCACGGGGCAGCCCTGCACCTCCCAGCACCCCCACTCCCTTCCAGGCCGGACTTGTGCCCTCCACTGGCCAGGTGAGAGGCGGACCTGCCACTGCCGGGCCCCTCGTGGAGCCCACGCTTACACCCAGAGGCTCCTTGGAGACACTGAGCGATGCACCTGCCAACATGCAGCCTGGCTGCCCGAGGTCCCCGCCTGGCTCCCTGGCCAACTCGGAGAGGGGTCCGCGTGCTCTGGCCCCTGCAGGTGGACAGGGCACTCCCACCACGCCCCCTCCCTTGCCTCCCGCTGGCCCCTCAGGGACGCCGTGGGCCATGCCAGGGAGAGTCAGGAGCAGGTGCGCAGGCAGGGGCCCCAGGGCGCCTCCGCGGGGCCGGCGGTGGGCATGACCTCGTCAGCCGCCCCGCACCGCACGCCAGGAGCCTCCCACACCAGGCCAGGCGGGGACAGACCAAGGGCGGCTCCTGGGAGGGCAGGGCCGCTGCGCCATCCCCCGGGCTGACTCCCCGTCGGTGTCTGCAGCGGGCCCTGGCCCAGGTGGACGACCTGCGGCAGGTGACCGTGCTGGAGATGTGCGTCGATACCCAGGAGCACAGCCTGAGCAACTTCGGTACGAGCCTGCGCTGCCCACGCCCCCCACGGTCAAGGCCGGACCACGCTGGAGCCTGCCTGCCGGGCTCTGCTGTGCGGACCGCTGTGCCCCATGGGCCCGCCCGCACTCCCCAGGCTCCCACTGTGCCCCACAAGCCGACCCTGTGCCCCAAGGGCCGGGCCTGACCCCCGCAGATCCACTGGCCTGCGCCCCATGGGCCGCGCCCCGCCTTTCCCGGTCCCAGGGCCCTGTCGTTTGTACAAGTCAGTAGCTCCAAACCCTTCGCTGGGGCACCTGGGATACAAAGGACACCGGTGGGGGTTCCCGTGCCCCGGCATTCAGTGCCACGAGCTGGTGGAGGGCCCAGTCCGTGGGTCCCTGGGGCGGCCTCGGAGGTGGCTGGGGGCAGGGCCCAAGCCTTGGCAGCCGGGCCCCTGCCAGCAGCCTCCTCTCCTCCAAGCGATCCAGTGGCCTGGCGGCCCCCGTGTGGCCGTTGGTTGGGGTGCACCTTCCGCGCCCTGCCCTGCATGCTCCCCCCGGGCCTGGCCGCAGGAGGGCTCCTGGCCCGGGGCCTCTGCGCACCCTCAGGCAGCGGGGCCACGGGCAGCGGGGCGCAGAGAGCGGGGGCGGGGAGCGGCGGGCCTGCCCCCAACGCCCCTGTGGCCCCGCAGGGGTGCACCTGCCCAACCTCAGCCAGCTGAAGCTGAACGACAGCCACCTGGGCTCCGTGAGGTGAGTGCCCTCCCGGGGACCGCAGGGTGGGGCCGGGGTGGCCTGTCCCACGCGGGGTCGGGTCCTGCAGGGGTTGAAGGGCAAGCTCAGTCAGGGGGCAGTCCCCACGGAGAGACCCCTGGCTGTCCTGCGGCCCGGCCGCCGTCCTGAGGCACCGCCCCCCCAGCCGGGCTGGAGCGCACGCCCCCGGCCCCACTGGCCAGGGCGCCTGCTGAGGGAGACACCTGGGCCTGAGTTGAGGGTCCGGCCCGACACGCCAGGTCGTGCGGCTGACGAGGTCTCCAAGGGCCTGCCGTGTGGTGCCCGAAGGCCCCCACGGACCTTCGGTAAAGGGTCCCCAACCCACAGTGGGGTCTTCTGGTGGACGCCCCAACACCGGGCAAGGCCTCAGGGCATGGGGTGTCCCTGCACTGCGAGGGCCAGAGCTGGGGGTGGCGTGGGTGGCCGGTGGTGCCCCGGAGCAGGTGGCACGGTCTCATGGGACAGAGGAGGTGGCTGGCACACAGCAGCCCTTCCATCATTGAGGGAAGAGACGAAAGCGAAGACTAAGGATGGAGGCATCGTCCCCGTTCCCTCCTGGGGCCACAAAGAGCAGGGCTGAGGGGCCGCGACCGGTCATCGGTGTTGGAGTAAAGCCGGTTCCGGGAAGCCCCGCCAGCTCCGCGGCGTAAGGCGGCGCAGTCCGCGGTCCCGACAGCCCCTGCGTGGCAACACGTCAGGCGACACACGTGTTTACTCAGCAACGTCCTTGAAATGTTGTTGGTTTTCCTTGTTGATGCTGATGTTTATCAAATTCACATCAAAACGAATTTAGTAAAACACGTGCAGATCTGGAAACGGGAGTCTGTGGCCTCCGCGGCAGCCGCAGGACAAGAGCCGGCCCACGGGCTCCACACGACCCCGAGTCCCGCCAGGAAGCATCTGGAAAGTGGCAGAAAGGCGCCTTCAGTGCCTGGGAAGGCAGCGTCTGCCAGGGCAAGCCGTGTCATCGGCAGACAAAAACCATTTCTTCCTTCCTTGTTAAGGCTTACGGGTTGGCCGAAAGACCAATGAAAGAACATAAAAAGCACATAAGATAAAGGATGAAAAGTATGAGAAGTGGAAGATATTATAAAATTAAGAAATATGCTATTATCATTTGTAACCAGAAAAACCCTCCATTCCAAGAAAACAAAGGTCCAAGAGAAAAGTCCAAGAGAAAAGGACTAGACCACAAGCAGAATGAAAACGTGTTCTGTTCCGAGGCCACAGCAGCGAACACGGGCAGGAAACTTCCCTGTCCCTGAACCTTGAACCCTGTTACTCAGGCAGACGGCATTTGCCCGGAAACACCGTGTGGGGTTGCGATGTCTGTGAACGAGAATTTGTAAGAGGAAACGAATTCCGTCCAGTAAACCGGTGTCGCAGTTAGCGGTCGAGGGAGACGGTAGGATGTGCGAGTCCCAGGCGGCACTGCAGGGCGGGAGAGCGACCGGGACGCGGGCGGGCCGTGCGGCCGCAGCCGAGCCAGGACACAGGCCTGGACGCGGTGCTCCCGGGAAGACGACAAGCCTTCCGCCCTCGGGGGCTTTCCCGACAGCCCGGGCTTGGGGACAGCCAGCCAGCCCGCCACTGCGCCTGTCCCCCTGGGCTCAGCCCTCGCAACCGGGGGAGCCACAGGAACGGCCTCTAAGGCGGCGGAGGTGGAAACGATGGAAACAGCAGAGCAGAGCTTTGACGATGGCGCAATCACGCGCATCTCTCCCCGGCCGAGGGCTGAGGCCTCCTGCCCGGACCCGGCGCTCCCTGCTCGGGGGTCTGCCCACGGCTTGGCGGCCTGGCAGACTCGCCTGCCTCTCCCCCTCCTGCTCCCGTTGACTCTGACTGTGGGAGCTTCACGTGCAAGGAAACACTGTGTCCTGGTATCTCCCGGTCCGTCCGATGTGGCTGGGACTTTGGGCATCACTTAAGAGGTTCGCCCACATCTCCAAGGTCTGTTCAATTTCTGGTTTTAGTTTTTATGTTCAGGTCTTTTTTTTTTTTTTTTTTTAAGATTTTATTTATTTATTTTCAGAGAGAGGGGCCGGGAGGGAGAGAAACATCTGTGTGTGGCTGCCTCTCGCACGCCCCCTCCTGGGGACCTGGCCCGCCACCCAGGCCTGCGCCCCGACTGGGAAATGAACGGCGACCCTTTGGTTCGTAGGCCGCTGCTCAGTCCACCGAGCTGCACCCGCCGGGGCTGCTTTTGCTCTTTTTTTTTTTTTTTTTTTTTTTTTTTTTTAAATAAAACCCTTTTAGCATTTGCACCTGGCAGAGGGGAGGAGACAGCCAGATCACCTGGGGAGGAGCCGGCGCCACGGCCTGAGGCGGGAGGGCCAAGGCACACTTCCCACACAGGGACCCGGGCAGCCAGCCCCATGGTCGGGGATCACCCGCGGTCGGCTGCCCCCTCCAGTCACAGGCCCCCCCAACAAGCTCAGGGGGAGCCCCCACATAGGTGTCCCGAGTAGCTCGGCGTTTCCAAGCAACACTCAGATCCTCACCCCCAACCCGGAAGCCCCAAAGCTGTTCATGGAATAATTTAAACGTCAGGAGACCTGCAGCGTGAACGGGACAGCACAGGCCGAGGTGAAGGGTCCCAGGGGCGGAGACGGGCAAGGAGGGCGGGGAAGCTTGCGAGAATCGTCCGCTGCCCCTCGAGGGGCACAGAGCAGGCGTGCCTGCTCTGCCTCTTCAAAACCAGAACGTGCGTGAGGGAAAGGTCAGGGCGCCGGGAAGCGCCCTCGCAGACGAGGCCTGCGGCCAAGCGGGGAGCGGCGGGAGCGGCATTGGAGGGGGGCCTCTCCCAGAAAGCCGAGGAAGGCAGGCCGAGCCCCGGAAAGGGAGAGAGAAGCGGGGACCGCAAGGGCCTCTCGGGGCGACGGGCCGGCACGGGCGGGCCGCAGGGGCTCCCGGTGGGAGAGGAGAAGACGCAAGAGAAGTGACGCCCAGCCGCGGCGCTGCCCCAACAAGGAGAAAGGCCGCTGGCCTGGTTCCTGGTCGGGGCACACGACCAGGCTCGGATGGTGGTGCTCTCTCGCTCTCTCCCTCCCTTCCCCTCTCTCTAAAAATAAATAAATAAACTCTTTTCTAAAATTAAAAAATAAACAAGTAACACCCAGGACATCCCAGAAGCTGAGCAAAGGACACACAGCGTGAGCCCCTGCCCTCTCCGCAGATGGAGGACACGCAGGCCAAGAGGACCCCGCAGGCAGAGGGGGCCCGGGGAGGTCAGGGGACAGAAGGTCTGCCCCCAACCGCCCCCTTGTTGCCCTAACACGGACGGAGTGCCCCGGGCTGCCCCCTGCAGGGGAGCGGCTGGCAGAGGGAAGGGGGCAGGGATGCCACGGGCAGGGAGTGGGGCCCTGATTTGGGCACACAGCGCGGGAGAGCACCCTAGGCTGAGCCCGCCGGGAAAGGGGCCCCGCTGCCCGCGCCCGCGCCCGCAGGGCCGGGGAGGCTGAGCCGTCCAGCACGGGGCGGCCCCCTTGGCCAGCACAGGCCCTCCCGGGGTAGGAGAAGGTTCAGGACATCCTGCCCCCGGGACCGGGTGCTGCCGCAAAGGGGGAAGGCAGGGAGTCCCTTCCCCCGTGTGGAGGCTGCGTCGAGCCACACTCCGCCCGGCCCTGCACCTGGAGACAGTCGACGCGCACGGAGGCTGGGCACGCGGCCCGGCACAGAGACACAGCCCCCAACCCCAGGCGGCCCTGACCACGCCCCCCCCGCCCTTTGCAGGGACCTGGGCACCTCCCTGGGCCGCCTGCAGGTGCTGTGGCTGGCTCGCTGCGGCCTGGCTGACCTGGACGGCATCGGCTCCTGCCCGGCCCTGCAGGTGGGTCGGCGGCGCCCCGGGCTGGGAGGGCGCGGGCCGGGCCCCGGCTGAGGTCCCCGTGCTGCCCAGGAACTGTACGTCTCCTACAACGACGTCTCGGACCTCAGCCCGCTGTGCCTGCTGGAGCAGCTGGAGGTGCTGGACCTGGAGGGCAACAGCGTGGAGGACCTGGGCCAGGTGCGCTACCTGCGGCTGTGCCCGAGGCTGGCCACGCTCACCCTGGAGGGCAACCTGGTGTGCCTGCGGCCAAGCCCCTCCAACAAGGTGCGTGGGGTGGGCGCCTTGGGCCCAGCCAGCCAGCGCGAGGCGGGCAGCGCTCTGTGGCCCCGGGCCTGGCCCCCCAGGGCCGGGGTGCGCCCCGCACGCTGCCGCTCGCCCACCGTGTCGCGGGAGGCCTGGCAGCTGTTCCATACAGAGGCATGGTCTGTACTGAGGAATTGGGCGTGTACACTCACGCGCGCACGTGCGCACACACGCGGGCCCTGTCCAGGGCCCCCCACCTCCCCAGCCCGGGCACACCCGCGGTGGCACAGGCCCCGCACTGCCCGTGCGGCCGGAGCTCAGACCCCCTGCCCTGCCAGCTGCCACTCCTGCCAGCTGGGCCAGAGCTCTGAGCTCCGGGCAGCACCTCTGGACCTTGGCCACGACCCTGAACAGTGGGATCAGCAGCGTCCCCGGAGGCCCTGCTGCCCAAGTCTGACCCAGGCAGCCTGCGGCGGGGTCGGAGGGCGGCCTCAGCAGCCTGGCTCCCTGGCCGCCCCACCGTGGGTCTGACGGCAGGGCCCCGGGCCCGCGCTGGCTGAAGGCTCCCGGCCCCAGGCCTGCCACCGCTCTCTGCCCTGCAGGTGCCCCAGGGCTACAACTACAGGGCAGAGGTGAGCAAGCTCCTCCCCCAGCTGCAGGTCCTGGACGAGATGCCAGCCACACACACAGGCCTGCCGGCCTCCCGGAAGCTGGATCGGGACTGGCTCATGGTGAAGGAGGCCATCAAGGAGGGCAGTGTCCTGGACAGCCTGCTGCCCGGGCTGGGTACGGCCGCCGCCCCCCGGCCGTGGCAAGGGCTGCCCCACCCGGCCTGGCGATCTCGCCCTCGGAGCCCCAGGAGGGGTGTCCGCACCGCGGCCCCCCGAGACCACAGCTCTCTGCTGCCAGCCGCCTAACCCCCAGGCCTCGTCAAAATGGCCAGGCTCCTGTAATACCCCTTCCCAGCCCTAACCGCTCATCCTGGGGCCCTGCACTCCTGCCCCCCATCCAAGAGGAAGGGGAGGTCGGAAAGCGGGGTGGCGGGGGGTCTTGGGTCCAGGGAAGAGTCTTAGGGGGCCCTTGGGCTGGCCAGCTGGCATGGGCTTCAGTGACCTCTGATTTTGACCTTCGGGCAGGTCGTCCCCACGGAGACCCCACCCGGAGATTCAGCCCCGATCGATCCCTGCCTGAGCCCAGGGCTCCCAGGCGTTGGCCCCTCCCCCTCCTGGTCCCGGGGGGTCCCCTGCCTGAAGGTCTGCTTCCCAAGGACCCGGCCCCGGAGGACGACGCCAGCAACCTCACCCACGGTAACTGACCCGCCTGGGCAGGAAGCTGGCCCTGCAGCCCCTGAGCCCCAACCAGGCCCAGCCAGACCTTCTTCTGCAGGCGCCGGCCGAGTCCTCTGCGGAAACCCCACCAGAGGCCTCCGGGAGCGTCAGCAGCGGTGCCAGGTACGCCCGGCCCCGCCGGCACTGGCGCCGGCACTGCACTGGCATCCTGGGCTTCAGTCCCCAAAACGGCCGGGTGACCTGGGCCCTCCTGCGGAGTGGGCGCATCCCGGCCCCGGGCTGCAGCCATTGCAGGGCCAGCCCCTGACCCGGCCCCCCACACCCTCTGCCCTGACAAGTCTCTCTCCTCCCAGCCCCCTGCCCGCCCGGTCCCCGCCCAGGCCACGCCTCCAAACCGGCTCTTTTGCTCCTCAGGCCGGGGCGCCCCCAGAGCAGCTGCCCCCACACAGGCTGGAAGGCCTGGCCTCCCGGGCCTGCACCCCCGGGCCTGACCCCGCAGACGGCCGGGACCTCCAGGCCTTGCCTGGACTCCGGGCGCCGAGGGAGCTGCCCCTGCGGTGGGTGCCTGCCTGCGCACGGAGCCCCGCCGCGCGTGCTGTCTGGGGGGCCTGGCTGGGGCTGCCTTCGCTGAGGGGCCACTGGTCCCCAGGTGGCCGGAGGAGCTGGTCACGGGAACCTGGGGCTGGGGCACCGTCCCAGGGCCACGCTCCTTTGGGATTGGCTGGGGGAGCGGCGGGCAGGGCTGCAGCCTCTCCCGTCCCCCTCCCCCAGGCACATGCATTCTGGGCAGGAAGGAGCAGCCGCCGCCCAGGGCTCACAGGGGGGCCCTGAAGAACCAGGGGACGAGACAGGGACCAAGGCCTCCCCCAGCTCCTCAAACGTGGCCCCAGGTACTGAAAGACCCCGCCCACGGGCCAGCACGGGCCCTCGCCTCCCCGTGGGGCAGGGCTGTGGTCCCTTGAGGTCCTTTCTGGGGGGCGCAGGGGGCTCACAACAGAGGGGACAATCCCAGGTGCCCCTCCCCCGAGCCCATGGGACCAGGAGGCCGCCCAGGCTGGATGGGAGACCGAGGGTGCCCAGCAAAGGGCCAGGGGCAGGGCAGAGAGCGGCCGGGCCAGGGAGCGGGCCAGCCCAGGCGCAGCTGAGGGCGCCGGGCGGGGGCGGCAGAGGACAGGAGGCCCAGGCAGCAGGGGTCGCGCCCTTCATCCAGCCGATGGGGCCTGTGTGGGGCTCAGGCCACCGAATCGGGCCGGGGCGGGGCACCGGGGGCAGGGGGCGTCCCAAGGGACGCCAGCGTCAGCGTGACAGCGGCCGACCCAGGGCTGCGCTGCAGCGGCAGAGCCGCCTTCCCCGCGTGACCCCGGGCTTCCTGGAGGAGGGGTCTGAGCCGCGGGTGGAAGGGGGCGCACGCCAGGAGGGGCACGGTAAGCAGGAGCCCAGGCAGGAGGCCCTCCAGTGCCCTCCCCGCCGAGGGGCAGGGCCAGGCGCCTGGGGGGAGGGGCCAGAGAGGGTGGGCCCTGAGATCCACTAGTCACGTCACGGAGGGTCAAAGGCCAGACGCCTGGCGGAGGAGGGGTGGCGGGAAAGCCAGCAGGGCCGGCTGGGGGGGGGGCAGACAGCGGGGACTCAGGGGAAAGGGGTACCAGGGCCTCCCACCGCAGACTGGGCCCAGGCGGGTGCTGGGTGACCCCGGCCACACCTGCCCCGTCGGCCCTGAGCTGGGTGCTGGGGCCTTGTAGGTAGCGGCGGTTTAGGAGCCGGCCCGGGGCAGCAGCCTCTGAGCGGGCCCCAGTGACCCAAAGCCTGAGCCCAGGCCGGGGGCCTCTGCCTCCCTCAGGTGGGTCCAGCTCAAGCAAGCGTCCCACCCTGAGGGGACACTGAGGAGGGGCCACAGCTTCCCCGGGGAGCACGGGGAGCAGGGCGGAGAGGCACGGCCTGGGGCTGAAGGGCTGGGGGGCGGCCCCACCTGGCGATTCCTGCAGGGACCCTGCCTGACAAGCTCTTCCCTTGTTTTCCAGGGCCTTCTCGGACCTCGGGCTATAACCTGCTCCCCTCTCCCCCCAAGGTCCCCACGCCACCTGACTCGAACAGCGGCTGCCGGACGTCCAAAGACCTGCAGCTCCGCGGGCGTCGGCTCCGAGCCCTGGGCAGCTCGGCGCCGGGCCTTGGGCAGGGGCTGGCTGCAGTGGCTGCCCTGAGAGCCCTGGAGTTGGCCTCTGGACCGAGCCCTCGAGCCCAAGGACGTCCAGGCCCAAAGCCGGCACCAGACGCAGCGGCCAGACCCCCAGCCCTGAGGTGCCGGCCGCACTGAAGCCCTCTCGGCCCAGCCCAGTCCCTCCCCTAGCGTAACCCCCGCCGCGGCCAAGCTGGCGGGGACGCTGGCCGAGGGGCCCCAGCTCGGCTGTGCAGCCTCGTGGAACCCAGAGCACCCGGGAGTGCAGTCGGGGCAGGAGGGGGGCCTGGCCAGAAAAGCGTCGGGCCAGGCCAGCCCTCCCGCACCGATGCGCAGGGTCTTCCTCTTGGGGCCAGGAACCCCAAAAACCAAGAGAATCACTTTCGACTCCCAGGTGCAGAGAAATGCAGTTTACTTGGTAGGTGACCTTGGTTCAGTAAATGACGCAGCCGACACCGCCTGCCTCCCGCCCTTGTCTCGCGCACCCCCGCGGCCCCCGGGCGCCCTACCCCGTGCTGGCCCGCCGCCGCCGCCACCGCCCTCACGCAGCCGGCCGGCGAGTGCAGACGCCGGTACTGCCCGGCCTACACCCGTCGGTGTCCGCGGCGATGGGAGGGCAGCCGCCGAAGCGGAAACCGAACCTGCTCTCGGCCATGCTCTGCACCGACAGCGCCACCAGCGGGCAGCCCCGGTCCACGCTCTTCCGACACACCTGGGGAGCGCGCGGCCTGAGAGGCGGGCGGGCGGGCGGCGCGAGGGGGCGGGGCCTCGAGGGGAGGGGCGGGGCCGGCGGGCGGGACCGCTCCGTCCGGGGCCCCCAGCGCGGGCGCACTCACCCGGATCCGGGGCTCCCTCCTAGCCCGGCAGTCCACGAGGCCCAGAGCGCCCTCTGCGTGGGACAGTGATGGCAGGTGTCGGGCCGGCCTCCCCTCCCTGCCGGCCTCCCACGCACGCTCACTGGGGACGGCGGGCAGGAGCTTCCCCGCGTCGTCGGCCTCCGCGCGCTCCAGCGGCACAGACACCCCCTGCGGGCATAAGAGCTCGCTGGAGGTCAAGCGCGGCGACAGGGCCCGCGTCCCGCTGGGGTGACAGGGTCCGGAGGGCTCGAGCCAGCCCACGAGCAAGGGGCGTGCCCGGGGGAGGAGCCTGGAGAAGCTGGGGGCGCAGGGGAGTCCCACAGAGCCGCGGGGCGGGGCCCGAGGGGGCGGGGCCCGCGGACGTCGGGGACGCTCCTACAGGGTCTCAGGGGTGGCTTTCTCTTGGGGAGGGGGCGGGACCTGCGGAGGAGGCAGAGACCGAGGGGCGCGCGGTCCCGACCACTGCCTCCGGCTCCGGGACCTGACCTCCCGCCCCCGACCGTTGCGTGGGGGTCGGGACGGGCGCCGCTGCTTGCGAGCGTCGGCCCTGGGCTGGGTCTCTGAAAGCGGGAAGCTGTCGATGGACAGGTCGGTGTTGTCGTCGAAGATCCTCGAAACGGGGACAGCGCAGTGCGGGGCCTGGTACTTGCTGAAAATCTGTGGGTGGCAGGGGGGCACGGTCGCCTGAGCAGGCGAGGCCTCCCCCCAGCCCCCAGTTGGGACCCGCACTCACCTCGCCCTTGGGGCTCAGGAGAAGTGTCACGATGCTCGGGCTGGGGTGGAAGTGGGCAGGCTTCCGGTCCTCGGACGAGGGCAGCTGCTTCTTGGTGCCGCCAGGCCCCTCGCCCCATACCTGGGGAGAGTGCCAGGCGCGGGTGAGGGGGACGGGGGAGGGCCGGGGACGCGCCGGCTCGCGGGGCGTGGGGCGCACCGTGATGTGGTGCCGCGGCTCCAGCAGCGTGTCGGGCGGGAAGCGGTACATGCACACGGGGATGTCGCGCAGAAACTGCTGCAGCACGAAGCCGCCCAGATTGACTGTCTCCTCCGTGGACTCGTTGAAGATGCAGACGAACCCCTCGTGATGATTCACGGCCACGATCTTCAGGCAGGAGCCTGTCTTGCTGGGACTGGGGCGGGTGTGGCTGGTCAGGGCCCCTCCCGCTGGGAGCCTCCCTGCTGCCCCTCTTGAAGCTGCGGCCCTCCTTACCTCCAGGGGTGCGCGGGAGGCCAGAGGGCGGCATTTGCTGCCTCACCCGGCCGGTCTGAGTGGGCTTCCCCGAGATCCAGAGAGATCTCCTGTTCTGGAGGGCCTGTTCGGGAGGGGGACGCCCATATGGAGCGTCTGTGGGGACGTCTCCTGGCAGGCCCATTGGCCTGCACTGCTCTGGGGGTCCACGTGGGAGAGGAGCAGCCTCAGGGGTCCCATCCAGGGCAGGGGGGTGGCTGGACCCTGGGGACTGAGCGGAGCAGAGGTGTAGCTCGTAGTACTTGCAGCGCTTCGAGCCAGAGCGCAGAGGCCTCCAAGACCACCCTGATCCCTGTGGATGGGGCCGGAGAGGCCCGGCAGCCTCCCGCGGGGCTGCAGCGAAGGCCCGGCACGGGGGAGCCTCTCTCAGGGCAGCGGCGTGTTCGCAGCGCTGCGGGGGGCCGGGGGGGGCGGGGAAGGCCCCGGGAGGCCGGCCCCAGCCCACCTTCAGGCTCTGCCTTTGAGTCCCTGCTGAAGCTCCTGGCCGGTGCCACTATGTTCTGGAAAGAAATGTGGCCTGGCGACCGGGGCGGGTTCCCTGTCACCTGCACGCCCCAACACTCGTCCAGCTGGCGGCTGCTAGAGTCAGAGTTGGCGCCCCTGGAGTTGTCGGGGCCCCCAAAGGGCGGGGAGCTCCACTCCACGCTCCTGAGACGGTGCCGTCTCCTGCACAGCTCCGGGCCACACTGGTCAGGCGGCGAGCCCGCGGGCGGCTGCGGGGGCGTCCGGGGCCAGGGGTGCCTGCAGGTCACAGGCCACTCACGTGCCGCTCAGCCTCTGCTCCAGGGCGGGCGGGCACCCCACGCTGTGGAACAGGACCCCAGGGCCTGGAGCCCCACCCCATTCCAGAGGTCAGAGACCTGACTCTTGCAGGGTGCAAGGGACTTGGCCAGGGACACGGAGGGTGGAACCTGGACTCTGGCCCCCATCTGCCAAGGCTAGCCCTCCCTCTGGCCCCTGGAGGTGCAGCCACCTGTAATCCGAGCTCGGCTTGATGTTGGCGAAGAGGTTGGGGTACCGGTGGGCGATGGTGTTCCAGTCCACGTCCTCTAGCCGGAAACCCTGGCCAGGAACAACAGGCATGTGGCCCGCCCCTCCCACAGGCCTGCAGAGCCACGAGTGGGCGTCCTCGCTCACCTCCTGAGCAGGGGTGCCTCCCTCGTTCTCAGAGGAGTCGCTGGGGTCTATCAGGGCCTCCGTGGGCACCACCTGCAAGAGGAAAGGGCGTCTGTCCCCTGCGGCCTCACCAGCACTTGAGGCACACGCTCGCTGAGTGTCAGGGGGGCTGGACCACAGGGCTCCCGGTTCCTCCCTGTCCCAGGCCGCGGTCCGGAGGCAGCCCGAGGGAGGCAGGCCAGAGCCCCCCAGCAGAAGCGCAGATCTGCACTAGGCAAGCTGGCTGGCTGCGGGGAGGGCCGGGGAGGGGCGTGGGGGGCGGGCGCAGGCTCACCTCCACGCTGCCCGTGGACGACCTGAGCATGCGGCCCACCCAGGAGGAGCAGGCCAGCTGCCGCAGGCAGGACCTCTGCAGTGCGTGCAGCTCAGCTTCCCGCTGCTGCAGCGCGGCCTGGGTCCGCAGCAGCTCCTCCTCCAGGCGTTCCTTCTCCTGCTCCAGGGGCGGGCCGCAGGTGGGCGGGGGCTCCACCAGGCCCCGCCCACCAAAGGCCACCGCCCCCCTCCCTCCCGCCCCGCCCCCCGCCCGGCTCCCTGGCCCCCTCACCAGCTGAGCCTGTTTTTTCTGCTCTTTCAGCTCCAGAGTCAACTTCTGCACCTGGGTCAGCAGGAGCCTGTCCAGGCTGCGAGTGCTCCTGGGACAAGGGGTGGTCTCAGAGGGCCCCCTCACCCCGGGGTCCGCAGCCGCAGGAGGGGCAGGGGGGGCCCAGGGCCCAGAGTGCTGCTGGGCCGGGCCAGTCAAGCCCCGGGGGACCTGGGTGGAGACGCGACCTGGGTCGAGCTTAGCACCAGCAACGTGTCCAAGCTTCAGGTCTCAGTACGTCTCTGGTATGTCAGCTCTTCCAGGGTTAGGGTGGGGGCTTAGAGTCAGGTAAAGACTAGGGCTAGAGGGAAAGGTCAGGGTAAGGGCCAGGCTGGCTTCTTGGTCAGGCTCAGTGGCTGGGGTTGGGGTCAGACAGAAACCAGCAGTCAGGGCCAGGGTTGGGCCGGGCTGGGCCGGGCTGGGGGACTAGCCTCCGCTGCTGACCTCTGGAGCGGAACCCCCGCCACCTCCTGCAGGATGCGGCAGTGCCGGGCATCCCGCCCCTTCTGGAGGGCGCACCGCAGAGCCCGGATCTCCAGCTCCCGCTGCCCCAGCAGCAGCCGCAGGGTGCGCGGGTCCAGGGACTCGGCGGCCGACCTGCAAAGCCGGCACCGCAGCCGCGGGATCAGGCCCTGCCCTCTGCCACACTGGCCCCCCGTGGCTCACCGCCGCTCCCTCCCTGCTCCTTACTGCAGGTCCCCTCGTGGGGAGCTGGCCCTGGTGTCCTTGAGGCATTCGGGGCCCACCCGGCCGGCCGGTGTGCCAGCTGGAGGACTCAGGTGGCTGCTGCCCAGCTCTTCATCCACCGGAGAAGAGAGAGCCCCTCCCTTGGCTTGTCCAGCCTCCCGGCAGGGCTCCTGAGCCATTTTTCATGTTCTTGGAGGAGCTGGAGGGGCAGCAGGGCTGTCTGCCCTGTGCCCCGCGTGTGGGCGCCCCTGCGGGCTCTCCTCCCATGGCCACATGCACACCTGTGTGTCTGACAGCCCAGGCTGCGCCACGGGGTGGCTCTCCAAGGAGTCCCGCGGGTGTGTGTGTGTGGGGGGGTGTCTCCTCCACAGGACACCACACAGCAGGTCACCCGGGTGTCCACACCTGTGTGCTTCTGACCAGGCCGGGGCAGCAGGTCACACCCCCGTGCAACATGTGACCTGGGTGTTTGTACATTCCCCGTGGCCTCCCTGTCGCCCCTGCCCTCCAGGATCTGAGGTGCCCCCAGCCCACAGCAAGGGTCCCCAGAGGTGCTGGTCCTTCACCCATGACCCCCCTGTTCCCCCAGACACAGGGCCCTTCCTCCGACACTCACCCGAGGCCTGAGGTCCTGGCCGGCCTCGGGGGGAGGCTCTGTGGCATTGCCATGGACACCAGCACCCAGGAAGGGAGGGGCTGTTTGTTACCAGGAGCCTCCAGGGAGACCCCAGCCCCTGGCCCTGAGTGAGCCCCAGGCCTACCTCCTCTCTCCCCCCAGGGGCTGGTCCAGCCTGAAGGAGAAGCTGCGAGAGGTTGACCTGGTGCCCAACCAACCCCCGACGGCCCAGGGGCCCACAGTGACCAGCAGGGCCCGCCATGGTCATCGTTCAGCCCAGCATTCCAACCAGCCATGGGGAGGCGCCCCCAGTCCCCACCTGGCCTGACCGTAGAGATTGATAGGTGGGTTACGGGGGCCCCCGTTGCCCTGGGTGTCCGCGAGTCGGCAGGGCCACGCTCCTGAGGCCTCGGAGCTCACTGGGCTGAGCTGACAGTGGCGGCGGCGGGGGCGGGGGGGGGGCGGGGGGCCGGAGTAAGCAGCGGGCAGCCCTGAGGAGCGGGGGAGGGGTGTGCCAGACCCAGCCCCCCTCTGCTGCCTTCCACCCTCTGCCCTCCGTGCCCAGCGCCCACCTACCTAACCCCCGAGCCAGAAATCTCACCTTCCCCTGTCTATCTCCACCACCTGGTCCACCGCAGTGACCCCCTCGGGACATTTCCATCACCATGACAACTGTTCCCTCTGCCCTGGAACAAAGGCGAGGCCCCAGACCTGACCAGCAAGACGCGTGCCCTCCAGCCTTTGCCCCCACCCCACCTTCATTCCTTCCTCACTCATTTACTCAGCCTCTCAGCTTCTGTCTCTGTGGGGCCCCCTGTGCTGGGCAGGACGCAGCGGGGCGGGAAGACCGCCCCCCTCCCCGCCCAGTCTGACTGGGGCAGAACCGCGTCCGAATGCCCCCCACAGGGAGCGCTGAGACGGAGGGCCCCTGGCTGCAGACGGGCGAGGGTTCTCGGGCGGTGGGACAGCAGGGCTGAGCAGGCAGAGCAGTGTGCACAGCTCAGGAAGGCACTGGGCCCCACTGGGCACAGACGGGGTGGGAATAAGCCTCCGACAGAGAGCCGGGGCCTTTGTCCCCAGCTCTCTGCCCCACCAGGACTGTCAGCCCGGCTGCAGCCGGAGAGGGCCGGCGGCCCTCCACCTCCCCATCGGGGGGCTCGCTGCCCCAGGTCCCTGTGCACCTCGACGACTGCCGCCGCGGGCCCCGAGGGACCGGGGTCGGAGGGACCTGGGGCACATCGGGCACGGTTCTCTCGGCGCCCTGGCGGGCTCGTGGGGTCCCAGGTCGGCGTCCCCTCCCTAGTGGGAGATTCGTCAGACTGGGCGGCTTCTGAGGAAGTGGGCCCTGGAACGGGGTCAGACACCTGCCCCACGCGCTACCCGTGGGCCGCCAGCTCGGACGCGTTTCCGCGTAGTTCGCGGGCTTCGGCCGTGAGTGCACCGGGGCTCCACCTACTCCTCGGCGCCGCGAAGCCCCGCCCGTACCTGGGCGCCGCCGGGGGGCGGGGCGGCGGGGAGCCAATGGAGAGAGGCGGGGCACAGAGAAGGTGGCCAATGGCCGTGTGCGCGAGGTGGGCAGGGCGCGCCGAGAAGCCAATGGGGACGCGAGGGGCGGGGCTGGGCGCTCGGGCTGCGAGCCAATGGGTGGTGGACAGGGACGCTCCCGCCGCGCCGGAGGCGGCAGGTTGCGGCGGCGCCGGGCGCTGGGAAGGAGCCGGTTCGAGTCCTGGTCTGGGAGGCCGGCGGGCGCCGAGGTGAGCCGCGCTGAGTCCCGAAGCCTCCCGAGCGCGAGCGCGGCCTCGGGCAGGCGCGAGCGGCAACTCGGAGGCGCAGGAGCCGGGCCGTGCGTGGGGGGCGCACCGCACCTGCACCCGCCCCGCTGCGGGCACGGCGGCTTCCGGGGCGAGCGCTGCGATCGGCGGGAGTGGGAGGGGGCTGCCTGCGGCAGGCTCAGTGGGTTCGGAGGGCCGAGGTGTGAGTCTCGAGGGAGGGTGCATTCCCATGGCAGCGAGTTGCCGAGTTAGCGTACGGGCGCCCTTGGGTGACTGGGGACGGCGCCCTGCGGGAGGGGCAGTGTTTTCCTTGCCAGGTGACTGGGGCGGAGTGGGGGGGGGGGGTGGTGGTGCAGGAAGTCCTGCACCCGGTTAATGATTCTCCGGGAGTAGGGCGGGGCGAGTGGAGGTTGGGAAGTGGGGTGGGGAAGCCTCCGAGTGCTCCTGGAAGGCTGATTGCTTCCCCCTTTGGGGGGCTGGTCTTGACTACCCCCACCCCAGGAATGTGTGGCCTGCGGGTAGGGCTGGGCACGCGAGAGCAGGGCGGCTGCCCTAAACCAGTTCTGGGGGTGAGGCGCAGGCCAGCAGGAGCAAGCAGAGGAGGGCCAGGCAGGGCTTGACCCTGTGGCCTTTACCTGCACGACAGGGATATGCTCTCAGGGCCTGCGGCCATGGAGCTGAAGGTGTGGGTGGACGGCATCCAGAGAGTGGTCTGTGGGGTGTCGGAGCAGACGACCTGTCAGGAAGTGGTCATTGCCCTAGCTCAAGCTATAGGTGAGTCTCCTCAGGGACAGACAGGCCAAGCGGGTGGGCCCTGGCCCTCTGGCTCTCTGGCCCTCTGGCCCTCTGGCCCCGTCTTCCCCCAAGGAGGGCGGGGCTGGTTGCCATCCCTCTTGCCCTCCCCTGGCTTCCTCAGTCTCGGTGCACAAGGGGTCGGGGGGACGCAGGCTGATCCCTCTCCCCCACCCCAGGCCAGACGGGCCGCTTCGTGCTCGTGCAGCGTCTCAGGGAGAAGGAACGGCAGCTGCTGCCCCAGGAGTGTCCCGTGGGTGCTCAGGCTACCTGTGGACAGTTTGCCAGTGATGTCCAGTTTGTCCTGAGGCGGACAGGGCCCAGCCTCACTGGGAGGCCCTCCTCAGACAGCTGCCCGCCCCCTGAGCGCGGCCCCATCCGCGCCAGCCTTCCCTCAAAGCCAAGACCGGCACTGGGCCGAGAGTCCCACAAAGCGCTGACCTTCAGCCCGGGGCGCCCCAGGCTGGCCTCCAGCACAGCGCTGCCCGAGCCTGTGGCCTCTGTGGCACCAATGCCAAGCTGCTGTGAAGACCTGCAGGGCCTGGAGCGGAGGGTGCAAAGGAACGCCGCAGAGCTGGGCCAGGAGGCCTTCTGGGAGCAGGAGCTGCGGCGGGAGCAGGCGCGGGAGCGGGAGGCGCAGGCCCGGCTGCGGGCACTGAGCGCGGCCACGGCCGAGCACGCCGCCCGACTGCAGGCCCTGGACGCCCAGGCTCGCGCCCTGGAGGCCAAGCTGCAGCTGGCCACAGAGGCCCCCGGGCCCCCTTCGCCCACAGCCTCAGCCACCGAGCGCCTGCGCCAGGACCTGGCTGCCCAGGAGCGGCAGAGTGCGGAGGTGCAGGGCAGCCTGGCCCTGGTGAGCAAGGCACTGGAGGCTGCAGAGCATGCCCTCCAGGTGAGCCCCCGGGGCCGGCGGCGGCACCAACTCGGGCGGTTTGGGTGCCGGGCTCAGGGTCGGACGAGGGCGGGTCCTGGAGCCCCGCGGCTGTGTCTCCTGAGGGTCCCATGTGCCCCAGGCCCAGGCCCAGGAGCTTGAGGAGCTGAACCGGGAGCTGCGTCAGTGCAACCTGCAGCAGTTCATCCAGCAGACAGGGGCCACCCCTGGCACACAGGTTAGAGTGACCCGAAGCAGGCGGGGCCCGGAGGACCCGGGGGGGGGCCCAGCCCAGCTCCGAGCTGACTGGCCTTCCCCGCAGGATCTAATGCCTCCGGCCAGAGGAAAGGCCCTCCCGGGAGCCCCTCGGAGCCCTGCCCTCGTGTCGAGTCTGAACCCAGAGGGTATGTCTGCCTCCCCCGCTTTGGGTGGGATGAGGCCCTCCTGCGGCCCCTCAGCCTCCTCAGCTGGTGTCCTCTCCGCAGTTGCCCCCATGAGGCAGAGCTGGAGGTAGCAGCACCTGCCCAGGGTGAGCGTCCGCTGCCAGCCCAGGCCTGGGCTGTGAAGACGCCAGCACGGCCAGCAGGGCCAGCCCCGTCTGGACAACAGAGGAAGAGCCGCGGTCATCGTGGACTCGCGCCCTCGTGCCATTGGAAGGCCTTGTGCCCTGGGCCCAAGACAGAGCACCTCGGAACCTGGGGTTCCCACTGCGGGGGCAGGGGGCGGCCGAGGACTCTCATCCTGGTGCTGGCCGGTCCGCCAGGCCCCCTCAGAAGCTTGGGGCGTGGCCAGCGCAGAATGTGCTAGGCCCCAAAGGCCCCAGATCCTTGCTGGGGACAGGGACGCGTGGCTGCTGCATTCAGTCTGTGGGTGTGTGCTTGTGTGCGGGAGGCAACCTTCAGTACATGTATGTGTGTGTGTACACGCATGTGGGCGTGCTACCTCCCCAATGGCAACACTAAAACCTCAATAAACTGCCTGAAGTGGCCTGTGTGTCCCGAGGTGGTACGAGGTAGCATCTGCGGGGTATAACCCTTGATACTCTGCAGCCAGGGCTCCTGAGAAGGCGTCTCCCATGGTCAGTGGTCACTTGGGTCCAAGGCTGGGGCGCCCAGGGCCTCCCATTTCGGGCTGTCATGCCCGCCCACCCTCCAGGGCTCTCCTCTGCACCCCGAGCCTGGTGCTGGGGCCAGACAGTCGGGAGCCTAAAGAAGCCCGTGCCCTGACCTGGGTCCCGCCTGGCCTGCTCCCCACCAGCAGCAGGAACTGCCACCCACTCGGGGGAGGCTCCTGGAGGTGAGGACTCAAGGACGCGCCAGACCTGCCTGTCAGGTTGACTGAGTCTGAGGGCGAGTGGGGGCGGGTCCCCGGCTTCCTGGGGAGTCCAGGTCCGGGGAGCTTTGTAGGCCCCGTGAGGGTGTGGCCGCCCTGCCTTCCAACGCCCCCTGGGCCACCCGGCTGGCTGTGAAGCCTCTGCTGGGTGCCTGCAGCCACGACACGGGCAGGCGCCCACATCAGCCCCGTTCCCGGGCCGGGCCCCTGGCACCTAGCTCCGAGGGCCGTGGCGGAGTTGGGAGACCTCGGTGACGGCCAGGCCTCTGGGAGTGCGGCCGTGGGTGGTCCTGGGGAACTGGGCGGGGACATCCTAGATCATGGGGTCTTTGTGCTGAGTTTTGGGCGACCTTGGGATCGAGCCAGGCCTGGTGTGCCCGCTTCCTCTGGGGCGGCTGCAGGGGCCGCGAAGTCCTAAGCGTGAGGAGCAAGGAAGCCAGGAGCCAGGCTCGTGGAGTCATCTGGACTGGGGACTTCCTGTGGAGACGCAGCGCAGAGGGGGAATGGCTGGACAGGCCAGGTGGCGGGAGGAGGCTTCCGACCGCCAAGTTGGGGACTCAGCCCAGGCTTCCTTGCTGCGAAGCTCGGCCCGGCCACGTGACTGCCCCGCTGCCGCCCTAGCCCGCTGCCCGCTCCCAGCAGCCTGTTCCCGGGGCCACCCTGGCCTGACCTGCAACTCCAGACGGGTCCAAGCATAGGGGCACGTGAGGTGTAGCCGAGACCGAAGAGGCTGAGGGGGCTGCGTCCCCGGTGGAAGGGCTGGGAAGTCTGGGCAGGCACCACCAGGTTCTGGGGGCCTGCTCCCTTCCCCCGGAGCCCCCAGACACACTCAGGAAGGCTGGCTGGATCGCGGCACCAGCCCTGGGCCGCCAAGCGCACGGGCCAACGGGCAAAGCCGTGTGCCCCCCACCCCGACCTCCCACACACCCCAGGGCCACTGGAACTAGCCCCTGCCCTCCCCAGTGTCACGAGCTCCCTCACCAAGCTCCCCAGCCCTCAGTGGGAGGCAGGCACAGAGCGGTCGGAGCTCACATGCCTGTGGGCTCCTGTGCCTGTTCCCAAGGGACACCTGCTCCTCCTGAAGCCACCACCAGGGGCTTGTCCTTGGTCTGCTCCTGGCTCTGAGCAAGCTAGCGAGCCCACTTCCGCAGGGCCCCCTCCTCTGGGGGCCGAGGGGGCGAGCCAGGGCAGAGCCTTCCTCGGTTGCTGTTCCAGATGCACAGCATCCCGCCCCACCAGAACCTTGCCGGAAGAGCCTCGAGTCACTAAGCAAACCTTTGAGTGGCTGCAAAGTTTACTTTCGAGCTTTGAATCGTACATGGAACATGAGGATGTGAGCTGTGCTGAGGTGAGGGAAAGCCCAGCTCCCCCCGGGCATCCTTCACGGCAGGGCCGGGCCGGCTCCCCAGGCAGCCGAGGCAGGACCCTGGCCGCTGGGGGATGGGGCAGCCACTGCCACTTGTCACTGTTGCCCTTCGGGGCCAGGCTGTGTTGGGCACCGGCACTGGAACACCGTCCCCCCCCCCCCACCTCCGAGTTCCTCTCCACCCCCAGCACAAAAGCGCCCTCTAGGGCTGGCTGAGAACACCTGGGTTCAGGAGGGTGGCCACAGTCAGCCCCTGCCCCGAGGCCCTAAACGGTTCCACTGGTCCTGCACCCCAAGGCCACCACAGCCTCCCTGCCACCAGCAGAGCCTGGCCATACGGAACCTGCTGGGTGTGACGCCCGTGACCATCAGGACAGGGTCCTTCCAAAGAGAAGTCTGAGTCCATGCAAATCCCTCAGGCCTCTCGGGCAACAGCCGCCAGCCCCCGCTGCTGGGAGAGGGGACAGGGCCTGCTGCAGGCGTCCGGGCACCTGAAGGCCTGGAGGCTGCTCCGTGCCCAGCGGACTGTCACGGGGGACTTGAGAACACCCAGCAGAGGAGGCAGGCCCAGCGGTCAGGCCCAGGATGGCGCAGGGTGCCCCCAACCTATCGGAGGAGCGTGCTGCAGGGCACCACAAATGGGCCGGGCGGTCCTCACGCCATTGGCGACTTTGCTGAAGTGGCGGAGCTGCACAGAAAAACCAAACCCGTCAGCGTTCTCCTTAAGAAAGTTCCCAGAGGTGGTCCTCCGGTCCACGCCTGCCCAGGGCTGCTCTCAGCTTGGCGACATCCAGAAGACCGTCCCAGGAATGCTGCGCAACCTGGCTCCGACACACACAAGAGAAAGTTCCCTCCAGGAGGGCATCTGGCACAATCTGAGCCCTCGCAACGTCCCTTCTCTCTCTGGGTGTCTGCGGGGCGCAAACAAGCAGACCCTTCCGTAGGGGCGCCCTGCCCCTCCCCCTTGGCGCGCCCCCTCCGAGTGCTGCGGCCTCTCCGTGCCCGGTGTGGCCTCCCCCTGCCCGACAGAGCAGGGTCACAGAGGGGCCGGGGTGGTCGCGCTGCCCAGGAACAGATCAGCCGCTGTCACACGCACAGTGGGTACCAAGCAGCGCAGTGTGCAGTGGGCAGTGGCTGCCCTGCGCCCGGAGGCACCGCCGGGCAGGCGGAGGGGTCGTCCCGCACCCCGACCCCTCCTTCCCCTCCAACTTAGGAGTCCAAGCCCCTGCAGCCCGCAAGGGTGGGAGGTCTCTGGGGTGCGCCCCCGCCCGCGGGCCTGGGACCCCTAGCGCGTCACCTGAAATCCCGGCGCGGGACCGTCGCCGGCCCTCGGCCCAACTTCGGCGGTGGCCCCCTCGCTCCCCCAAGGCCCCGCGCCCGCGCCCGGCGCCCGGCCCCTATGCAAATATGCGAGCCCGGCAGCCAATTGTCGGCCGGGCCGGGCCCGCCCTGACGCGCCGTAGCCAGTGGGCTCGAGGGGGGTGCGGAGGCCACGCCCACCGCCGCGCGGCCCCTTGAGGGCGCGGCCGGCGCGTTCTTTTCCGCACGTCGGCCTCCGGGCGGGGCCGCCACCTGCCGGGCGGGGCCTGGGGCGCCCGGCTACCGCCTCGCGGGCGGCTCCCCCGCCGGCCGGCCGGGTGGTACAGCCCGAGGCGCTGTTCCCCCGCCCGCCGCGCGGGGGCCGGCGCCTCCCAGGGAACCCGCGGGACTCCGCGCACGTAGCCGGGGCCAAGACCGAGGAGGGGCCTCGGCCTGGGGACGCACGTACAGCCCGCGCCGCCCGCGCCCACCCCGGGCCCGTCTGGCTGGCCGGGCTGAGCGGGGCGGGGGCTCCGACTCCGCCTGGTTTGCCCCGCAACGCCCGCGGGCCGGCCCTGGGAGCCCTGGATCCTTCCTGCGGGATCTGTCACCACGGAAGTGTCGGAGTCCGCGTCCTGAGCGCGGGGCGCAGGGCCCTGGCGGCTCTCCCACTGGTGTTGCCCGGTCCGGTCCGAGCACTGAAAAGCTATAAATCAAGGGAACAGACTGTTTCAGCCCCAGAGTTACTGACTCCTGGTGACGCCCCCAAGGCGTCAGCCAAGGGACATTCGGCGCCGGCCCCCTTCTCTTCACACCCCTCTCCCGCCTCCATGGCCGGGGGCATCCCTGAGGCGGAACCCGGCCATCTAGACACCTAATTAGGCAGAGGGGTGCCTGCTCCCCTTTTTGCTCCTGGCATAGGGGTCCTCATAAGCCTTTTGTGCCCCCTCCAAGGTCAGGAAAAGCTCCCCCTAACCCCACCTCCCTCAAATCAGCCAGAAGCTGGCACCTGCCTCAGAGCCTGCCCCCCCCCCACCCCCCGGGATCCCACTCTCCCGGCTCTAGGCAGCTCCGAAGGGCTCTTCAGCCCCCACTGTCACCATAGTCCTGCCCCAGGGGGAGAGCCCCAGCCCCCTGGCCCCTTGGCGGCCCTTCTTCAGGCCTCCGCCCTCCAGCTCCCCACCGGACCCCTGGTCCCCCCAGCCTAGCCTTACCTGCGTCACCCGCGGGAGCCGAGGCTGGAGCCTGCCCGCCGCTGCCACCCAGCGCCGGCCCCTCCCACACCCTTCCCACCGTCATGGTCGCTTCATTTCTTCCTTCAGAACGGTCACCTGCGTGGCTCAGTGCTGGGGCCCAGGGAGACATCTGCCCCTGCCTGGGACCTCAGGCGTGTGAAGCTGGGGGCCGGCAACTGCGGGGCGTGGCCACCTGTGGACAGGGAAGGAGCACAGAGCAGAGCGGTGAGTGGCTCAGCTCTGCTGGGTCAGAAGGTGAGAGGTCCTCAAGGCCGGGGGTGGGGGGGGCCCTGAGCAGGGCACTCCTTCAGGGCAGGGCACGGTTGGGGGAGCGCAGGCAGGGCAGAGGTTTGGAAGGAAGAAGTCTGAGACTCAGGGACACACAGAGGCCAGGAGTCAGGGTGTCTCCCAGGGCCTGTTTTGTCCTGCTGGACAACCGATGCTGTGCCCCCGTCCTGGAAGTTCCAAACACACCCCTTACCGCCCTCTGTAGGGGACTTGATGGTGGCTCCTCAAAAAGATACATTCAGCCCCGGCTGGTGTGGATCAGTGGATTGAGCTCCAGCCTGTAAACTAAGGGGTCGCTGGTTCAATTCCCAGTCAGAGCACCTGGCTGGGTTGCGGGCCAGGTCCCCGGTCAACTGATGTTTCTCTCCCTCTCTTTCTCCCTCCCTTCCCTTCTCTCTAAAAATAAATAAAATTTTAAAAAAGATATATTCATACCCTTCTGCCTAGGCACTGTGAATGTGACCTCAACTTGAAAAAGGATCTTTGATTCAGATCTTTTTTCAATTGCAGAAAGAAATCTTTCAATTGCAGATGTAATTCAGTCAAGGATCTTGAGATGAGATCCTCCTGCATCACCTGGGTAGGCCTGAAATCCAATGGCAAGTGTACTTGTAGCAGACGGAGGAGAGACGCAGAGGCACAGGGAGAAGGCCAAGTGGAGACAGAGGTGGAGACTAGGGTGATTCTGCCACGAGCCGAGGAAGCCGGCAGCGCCCAGACCCAGAACAGTCAAGACAGGCTTCTCCTGACAGATATTACAGGGAATGTGACCCTGCCGACCTTGATTTTGGACTCCTCGCCTCCAGGACTAGGATGGAACGAGTTTCCGCTGTTTCAGGCCCCTCTGTCCACGGTCATCTGTTGCGGCAGCCCCCGCGCACCGCTCCCAGCCCAGCTCCCAAGTCGGGGCCTCAGCCCCACATGTGTCCTCCTCCAGCTCCGGCCCTGTGTGTGCGGGCCCGACGTCAGCAGGGGCCGGCCTGGCGCGGAGAGGCCCAGGGGAGCTCCCAGCCCAGCCGCGCTCCCGTGCGCACGGTACCTGCCTGTCTGTGCCCGTGAGGAGCAGGAGCGGAGGCGGCCGGCACACCCTGGGGACACAGCAGAGGCCTGAGGGTCCGTGTCTTTGAGGGACAAGTGGGCAGGGGGCACAAGCATGTGAAAGGTGGCAGGTGGGTGACTGGTCAGGGTGCACCAGAGGTGATGTTGCGGATGGGGCTCTAGATGGAAGGTGTTCACGTGCGGGGGGCAGGGCGAGGCATCCATGTCAGCTTGCGGGGGTCTCGGTTTAGGGGAGGTGCGGATACATATCTAGGTTCTTAGGGGTCCCAGCTGCGCTCAGCAGGGGCCCAGGCCAGTGGCTCTGGGCAGTGTCCGGGGGTGCCCCCCAGCAGAGCACAGGTTGGCATGCGCTGCTCGGGGTGCCGGCTTGGGCCGTGTTCTTCGCATCTCACCGTGGATTCGTGCGTTTATTATGACAGTCTCCCCGCAGCCCCCAGGAGCAGCTGCTGATGAGGTGGGAGGGGCTGGCCCCCCTCCAAGGGGACTCCAAGTTGCTCGTCAGCTGCGTGTCTAACTCCTTCCCGGGAGCTTGGCAGGGCGCCCCAGCCCCGCTTGGGACTCTCCCAGGCTGTGTCCTTATATTTCATAGGCTTTGGCAGGCAGGCATGTGTGTGTACAAGGGCCGTCACATTTCAAACTCCAAGCTGGGGGTTGGGGGTACCTTGTGCAGGGTATTTACCAGGCTGGACGCGACCCTACCGGAAGTGCTGTCCCTGTACTGACCCATTCAGCTCTCGACATCCCTATTTTGTGACCAAGGACAGTAAGACACAGAAAGGTTGAGAAACTCTCCTGGGGTCACGTGACTGACATGCTTGGAGCCCAAGCACCTGGGTTCAGGTACCTGGCCTGGGGGACACCCAAGAGGCTTTGTGCCAGCCACCCTCTCCCGACCTAACCCCTCTGGTCCACAGACAGGGGTCACTGTGGAGTCCCCTGCCTCCTCTGTTCCTGCTGGCGAAGTCCTTTTCAGGCCCTCTAAGTAGGCTCTTCTTGCTCATGTGAACAGAGAACGTCAGTTGGCCCTCCCACTCCCTGCTCAGCTGCCTCCACGGCCCCTTCCCGCGCAGCAGCAGAGCCCCTGCGAAGACTTGCTGCCCCTGCGGCCTGGCCGCCGGCCTCCGTGCTCCTGAAACTCCCCCCGCCCCCGCCCCCCACCCCGGGCAGCGGTGCTGAGCATCCCCCGTGGCCCTGGCTCCACCCAGGCCCTCTCCTTGCTGCGCTTTCTTTCACGGGCTTCTAGAAGCCCCTCTCCTGGTTTCTCCTCAAGCGCGAGCCCTGGTGCTCCTTCTTGGTCTCCTTCGTAGATCCGGATCTCGGTTCGTTGCAGGCCAGGGGTTCAGGTCTTGGACTTCTGCTGTTCCGCCCCGCCCCCAACGCAACTCCTATTTTATTTCCAGTGCAGCATTTGCCCAACTCTAGCCTTCCGCCGCCCATTCAACGTCTCTTCCAGGACGTCCCACACGCGTGCCTCGGGTTCCCCCAGGGCCTCCCCTGCGCACGGCTGGGCCACGAGGGTCCCTGAACGGGTGTCGCCGAAGCGGCCTTCTGACTGGGCTCCCGGGGTCCGCCCTGCCAGCTCCAGTCTGCTCCCACGCGGCCGCCCAGGGGACCCTATGAGCTCGTGCGTGACATCCTGCTGAGAACCTCCAGCGCCCCGGAGCCGCGGCGCTCCCGGCGGCCGCTCCGGCCACGGCCCGCGCGGGCCCAGCCACGCCGGCTTCCGCCTGTCGTCCGCGCTTGTCCTGTCCGCGCTCTCAGCCTTTCGTCTTTGCCAGGTCCGTCCTCGTCACTCGCGTGCGCCCCGGGTCCCACCCTGCTTATCTTTCTATCGCAGCACGGAATCAGCCGGTCACACGCCACGCGGGCGTGATGTCCTGAGCTGTGGGTGAGGACCGCGAGGGACGCGCGGCACGCGGCTCCTCGAGGAGCCGCACACACAGGGCTCATCACCGCCGGGTCCACGAGTGGGCGAACGGCGCAAAGCTGCGGTCCCCGGGCCCGCCCTCAGGCCGCCCTCGCCCGCTTCTCTAGGCGCCCGCGGGCCCTGGGCGCTCGGGGGCGGGGCCTCGCCTCGGGGGCGGGGCCGGGCTGGGGGCGGGACCCAGGTGTGCCGGAAGGTCGCTCCCATTCGCCCTGGGCGGCGGGCGGAGGGTCAGACTGCACCAGCCCCGCGCGGGGGTGGCGGCCCGGACCAGCCCACCGGAGGGGCGTCAGACACCACAAATCCCCTCAGGACACTGGTCTGCTGGGCGCTGTCCACGAAGAAACAGTGTTTCCAACGCCTCGAGGCTCCTGACCGCAAGGAGCGGCGTCTTCCCGCTCTTCAGACCTCTCTTCCTCTCCTCGACCCAGTGGTTCCCGCCAACGGGCGGGGCTGGAGGGTCCCGGAAGCCGGCTCGGTGCACTTCCGGGTCGAGGAGCGCGCGGCGGCAGCGGCGGCCGGGCCTAGTCGTTGCTTTCGCTCGGGCGGCGGTGAACGCCTGGGAGCGGTCGGCGGGGAGCGAGGTTCCCGGGTACGTGCGGGGTCCGTGCCGGACCGGGGTCCCCGCCGTGTCCCGGCCGCGCGGGCCGCCGCCGGCCGCCGCGCGCTTTGTCTGCGGCCTGCCCGGCGGGGCGAGGCCTGCGTCGCGCTGGCCCCAGGCGGGCGCGCGCGCGGGCGGCGGCGGCAGGGATCCCGGGCCGGCGCGCGGAGGCCTCGCGCCGAGGCTGTCGGGGTCCCTCGGCCTGCGGTCGCGTTTCTGGGGTGGCCGCCTTCCTGTCCCTGCCGCGGGGAGCCCAGCCGCCTCTTGCTGTGACACCCCGCCCCCTGCGCTGTCGTTTCCCCCGTCTGAGCGCGGTGTGACCCTTCGCTAAGTTGTTTCCACCTCCTGGTCCGCACCGCTGCGTCCGCGTCTGGACAGGCCCGCCTGGGGGAGGGGTGGGTTCCCAGCCCTTGAGGCAGGTGGTGTCTCGGCCGCAGCCTTTCGGGGGTAGGCGTGACTAGCTTTGAGCCCAGAGAGGGTGAGTTGCTCGGCGTTGTTACACCGCAGCTGGTGCGTACAGCGGCCGAGCGGTAGGTAAGCTGCCTGGTGAGCCTCGTGGGCGCGGCCAGTGGTCGCCGGGACAGATCCTGAGGCTCAGGTGCGGTTTGGCTCGGGAATTGTCACGCCTCCCTCTCCCTGACCTCCGAGAAGAAGATCGGGTCAGGGAGGCAGTAGCGGGCCCCTTCTGGCGTCCCCTGCACCGGGCTGGTGGTGAAGCGCGGAGGCGAGCCTGGCCTTTGCCCTCAGCAGCCCTCCTGCCTGTCTCAGCTTCGTGCCCTCCGCGGCGGTTCGGCGTCAGTGTCTCGCAGCCGGTGTGGCTGATGGTGAATAAAGAAGGACCAGCGGGACCGGTGACCTGGCCCTGTGCCTGGCACAGTGCAGATACCTCACCAGAGACTCTTTCTGTTCCTCAGCAGTGGTCGGAATTGTGGGCGCTTTGGGTCCCTGAATTTGAAGAGAGGGAACTATTCTTTCAGCTGTAGCATTCCTCTTTGCCCCCCAGATCTAGAGGTGCCGCCTGCACCCCAGAGACAGCCAGCTGGCAGCGGGGCCCTGGGCACCTCTGGGCCGGGGCCTGGAGCCTTCGGGCAGAGGTGGGTGGTGGAGCCGCATGCTGGTGGGGTCCTGGCTGGTCTCTTCCTTGGCGGGGGCACAGGTGCTGGCTCTGGACGCAACGTTGGGAAGCCACCCGCCTGCTTTCTCGGCGCCGCCAGTGCGTGCTGTTGCGCGGTGACGCAGGAAGGGTGTGCAGCCGCAGCGCCAAGCTCCCCCGCCCTGGTGCAGGGGCGAAGAGGCCTGCGGGGGTCCCCAGAGCTGTGGGGAAGGGCTGCTAAGCCGCTGAGCTAGGCCCCCTGCTGCGGGCCTCCTCGGGTCCAGCCGCGCCCCCACGCTGGCACTCCTGGCAAACCTCCTGCTCTAAACCCCGTTGTGGCCTCGGTGTCCTCTGAAGCAGACCCTGGCCCTGCCCCTCCTGGGGGCCCAGGTCTCAGCGCAGCAGGGGAGAAGCCAGGGGCACCTGTTCCTCCCTTTGCCCTTGCAGACGCGAAGCAAGGGGAGGACTTGCCCCAGCGCCACACCCTGTGCTCTGCGGTCACCCAGGCGGCCTCAGGGTCGGCGTTGCCGGGTGTCTGGCCTGAGTGCTCACCTCCCTCACAAGCCGTGTCTCTGCGGGGCAGGGACTGCGCTGCGCGCAGTAGGGCCAGGCTCGGTGTGGGGCGGGCGTCCCAGGACGATGTTGGGGCGTCGAGTGGGAGCAGCCACAGCTGTGACCAGAGAGTGCCAGGTCTTCTCAGCTGGGCAGTGCAGCCTCTGACCCTCAGGACGGGCGCCATGCTCTTGGGCGGGTGGCGGCCCTGCCGTGCCTTTGGGGTGAGGCGTCCCCGGCAGGAGTGTGGCCGGCACGTGGGTGCAGGACAGGTGGGGTCCTGCAGCGAAGCTGAGGCACCGAGCACTCGGGGCGCAAACCCTTGGTTGAGTGGGGCTGGGGCTGGTTTTCTTAACTTCAGGGCACCGGGCCGGTGGGGGTGACAGTTCCACCAAAGACCCGCCTCGCATGCTGTCGCCAGGCTCTGGCAGCACGTGGCTGTCGCCAGTTTCCCCCAGTGAACCTGCCTCGCTGGTGTCCTGTGGTCTGGGGCGTTGGGAAGTGAGGCTCCAGGGTCTGCGTGGGCCCTGGCCCAGGGGTGGGGGGGCGGCCCTTGTTCTCAGCAGCATCACTGGTGGCCGCCCCAGCCCTGAGAAGGACGGCCTGGCCCGGCTCCTGGACATGCCGCCGGCCCAGCCCGCCTTCCCCTGGTGCTCACTCGGTTCTTCTGCCCCCTGGTCTCTCGGGACCCCTTTCCTCTGACGTGCAGGCCAGACCCAGAAGCACGTCGTGCCGTGCTGCAGGGGGTGCTGTATTCACTGTCAGGTCCCTGAGCAACTCCCTGTGAGGGGGTCCTCTGGGGGTCGCCCGGGACGTGGGCGAGGAGCACCGATAAGAAAGGAACCCTTACAGGGACCAGGGTTGGAGACCCTGGTGGAGGAGGAGGAGGTCATTTGTCCAGATCTTACGCCATTTGTGCAGTGGCCTCCCAGAGTAGATAGAACAGGGGTCCCCACTTGGAGGTCAGGAGCCCAGGACGGGGTGGGCATGGCAGCTGGGGCCTGTAGCCCTGTACTGCCCAGGGGTGTTCTGGGGGCGCATGCTGCACACAGCCCCCTGGTGGGCGCCAGGTGAGCAGAGGCCGGGCTGGCCTGCCGTGGTGCAGAGGGACCTGTCAGGAGAGTGCCCCGCTTGTCAGCGAGGCCGTCCTGGGGACCTCCCCCTCTCGGAAGCCCTGCTTTGCCTCAGCTCCTGACGAACCACTTGGTCCAGACAAAGCCCTGTGGCCTGAGGCCGTGCTAGGTCTGCTGTAGGCCAGGGTCTGGCTGGATGTCGCCCTGGGGTTCCGACCCTGCCTTTCTTTGTATGCGCAGTGATGCGTGGCTTTGTGTGTCTCACCTGGCACAGCTCAGCCTCCCTGTCCTACAGGTGGACACGTGTCACAGGGTGGAATGGCCAGGAGTGGCTGTCACTCTTTCTGAGGGGAGTTTTGCAGCCTCGCGCCCTGGGGAGTCACTCGACTCTGGTTTCTTGCAGACTGAACTCCAATGTCCAGCAATGGATGACGACAGCCTGGACGAGCTTGTGGACCAAAGCCCAGGGCCGGAAGCACACCTGCCCCTCAGCGCTGCTGCCCTGGCTGGTGAGTGCCCCCCGGCCCTGCACCCCACCCCCACCCCCGGGCGCGAGGGTTCCTGGCCTGCCCGCCCCAGAGAAGCCGGTCACCGTGTTTCCACCACGGTGTCAGCTCCGGAAAAGATGAGCTGCCTTTTGCAGCTGTCTAGGTGGTGTCTGCGCCTTTTGACCTTTAAAAAAACTACCTTTTGCTTTTAAATTGTACGAGTGATGCACTATTTTGTCTCACATTTAATGCGACCACTACAGGTGTAAAGAGAATGAAAGAGTTCTGCTTCTCCCCCGCCCGTCCCCAACCCCGTCCCGGGGCAGCCCCCGCTCGCCCGGGGCCCGCCCTCTGCCCGTCGTGGCGCTGACTGCCCCGGGCCTTTGTGTTTGCCTGTCTCGGCCCAGGAGCGAGCGGCGAGGATGACAGCGGGGGCTCCGAGGACTCGGGCAGCGAGCTCAGCACCAGCACCGATGGGGAAGACGAGGAGGGGGACCTGGAAGACGGGTCTGGTGAGAGCGCTGCGGGCGCGATGCCCGGCATCCCCTCTCGCTGGGAGAGGGCAGCGGGTTCCGGACGTCCTCCGTGACGTCGTCTCCCTCGCCGTGCCGACCAGCGGAGGGGCTGCGAAGCTGGGGAGACGCTCCTCGGCAGGACAGCCTCGTGGGGCCGTCCCCTGCGGCACGCCATCCGCGTCGGCGGGGGGCGATGGCCCGCTTTGTCGGGACGCTTCCTTCCAGTTTGAGGACACGAGTGGCCCGGTCTCCTCTGGCAAGGGCTCCGGGGTGAAGCGGGCGAGAGCGTGGAGCGGCAGAGACAAGCCGTTTCCAGGGAGAGGCGCCTGCTGCCCGTCCTGGCCTGTGAGCAGAGGGCTCAGCGCCCTGCCCGCCGGGCCCTGCAGGGTCGCTGGGGCCCAGGTGGTGGCCTGTGCCGCCCCTTGCCCTGTTGCCCAGACACTGGGGGCTGCACGGGCAGGACGCGCCTCGGCGTGGAGTCCCTGGCTCGCCTCCGCTGTTGGGCATTTGTGCGTGCCCTTGACCCTCTGTGCCGGGACCGTGGCTGTGAATGGCAGTGGTGCCCCCTGAGGGCCGGGCTGCTTGGCTCCGGCGCGGGTCAGGGCACCTCCTTCCCGCCGTCCTGGCTGTTGGGTGGCCTGCCCTGTCCCAGCCCAGCCCTGGCCACCTCCCTGGAGGAGGGGCACGCTCAGCACCCCCGCAGCTGGGGCGCTGCCCGCCTTCTGGCGTGGGCACCAGGGCCCGCGGTGCCCGTTCCTGCGGCACCTGCCGGCATCCGCCTTCTGCCTCCCGAGCGCCTGTGGTTTTTGTCAGCATGGGAGCGTCCCTCGCGTTCGGGACAGTGCTGATGAAGGAGCAGGACTGGCGCAGTGTCATCAGTGTGAACGTGCAGCTGAGCACGCCGGTGCCATAGTCTCGCAGAGTTAGGTTTTAAATTCTGAACAGGGACACGAGATTCTAGCCTGAGAGCACAGGTCACAGACGTGGCTCTGCCGCCTGTTTCCCGGGCCTGAGGCGGGCAGGTGGCCTCCCTGCAGCAGGTCTCAGGCCCGGCGCTTGGCGCAGACGCAGCTGAAGGCAGAGGGTGTGAGCTGCTCCGTTCACCCCTCGAGCCAAGGTGTGAGGGCCTGTTCGGTGCAGTGAAGCAGGGCTGGGGGCTGGAGGGAGGGTGAGAGCCGGCTCGTTTGGGGTCCTCGCTGTCTCTCTCCCGCCCCCCAGCAGCACAGCCAGTGGCAGAAGGAAGCCGTTGTGGCGCCAGGAAAAGGGTGGACAGGGGCGTCACAGGAAGGGGAGGAGCTGAGCGGGTCTGGGGCGGGGAGGGGGCTCCAGAGAGAGCCAGGTCCCGGTCGTCTGCCGGGCAGTGGTGGGAGGGGCTGGGGCAGAGTGCTGTGGAGGGGCCGTTGGCCCAGAGCCACTGCCCAGGAGGGCAGGGGACCCGGGAGCCCTGTGCGCGGGGGTGGGGGGGTGGCGAGGGCGAGGAGGGCCCCGGGCAGGGGGTGCCAAGGAGGTGGCCGTCGCAGCGGAGAGTTCGTAAGACACCCGAGCCCGCCTGCCCCTCCAGCACCAGCCTTTTGACACATGGGGGAAGGGTGGTCCGGGGCCAGAGGGGCTTCTAGGGAGGGCCCCCTCCTGGGGGAAGGGCTGGCCAGCGCACCAGGCCTCTGTCCACAGCGGCGCTTTCTGCTCGGCCTGCTGCCTGTCCTGCCCCGTGTTTGTTCCTAGACGTTGCTTGTGTTGCTCTTCGCTGATTTCCAACTTTGGAGATAACGTCTGTGGGGGTCTTACCATAGAAGAGGAGACACTCGGACTCCTCCCGGCCCCTCCGGCCCTGCACGCATGTGCACGTGTGTGCGTGGGGAGCCGTGGCGACTCCTTGTCAGCCTCGTCTTCGTGATGCCCGCCCCAGGTCACAGTCCCCTTCCAGTGCGGTCATCGTGGGCGCCCGTCTCGGAGGGCCTGCCCTTGTCCGCACTGGGCTGGCCCCCTCGTAGGGGGTGGGGGAGCCACGTGCCGCAGCCCTGGGGGGGGCGGGGGGCTCAGGGCCCTCGCACCCAGGTGCGCCCTCGCCTGCGCGCATGCTCGGCGGTCACTGTCGGAGGTGCTGAGAGCACTGCTCTGTGGCCCCAGGTGCTACAGAGCGTCGCGTGGCTCTCAGGTGGCCGATCCCCTGCCCTCCTGTCAGCGCTGGGCCTGCAGGTGCCATCTGAAGAGTCCGCCCCTCCGGCCAGCTGCTCCCTCTGTCCTCTTTGGTCCCGAGGAGAGCAGGAGAGCTGAACAAAGCCAGTTGTGCTTCGCTCTCCACTTCCCATCTTCCAGATTTTTGGGGACAGTCCACTTTATTAGCTTTCTCTTGCTATGTAACAAATGGTGCCAGACACGGGAGCTTAGGGCAGCCCAGCACCCCTGCTCTGTGGGTCAGCGGTCCAGGGGCGGGTGGCTGGTCCTCTGCTCAGACTCCCCCGGCTGCATCGAGGGCCCTGGGGCCACGGCTCCCAGCTAAGGCCTGGGCAGTCCCCAGGGGCCGCTGCCGGCGGGCCGAACGCGGGTCCTTGTGCTGTGGGGCTGCCGTCCTGTGTCCGGCTGGCCGGCAGGCAGGGACTGTCCTCAGCTCCTGGCGGCCACCCTGCGCCCCCCAGAGGCGCGTCTCTGACCTCTGCGCAGCCGGCCAGGGAGGGGCTGAAATGCCGCCCCGCCCCCGTCCCCGGTGACCTCTCTGTCCGCAGGGGTCGGGGCGGCAGCCGTGTGGGGGCTGGTCCTGCCCACGCTCCCAGGGACTGGGTGGGCAGCGCTTGGGGCAGGTGTGCTCTCTGCCCACGTGCACCTGTGTCTTTCTTTTGGAGGAGTGTGGGAAGGATAGCAAACTAAACACATGCTGACTGTGCCGTGTTCAACCCGAAGTGTCCCCTTGTGCTTCTGCTGGTGAGGCCCCGGCCGCAGAGGCTCTGAGACACTGACCGGCGCTCCTGTGGCCCTGTTGTCCGGTTGGGACCTCGGCCGCCTCCCTGCGGGGGGAGGGAAGGCGGGAGCACGAAGGGCAGTGCTGGCTGGAGGCGGCGTCGCGCACACCGCGCCTTGGGGGGGGCGGTCCTGTCACCGCAGGGCTGCCGCCCCGGGCTGGTGGCCTGGCCACAGGGTCTGACCCTGCTCCAGGGCGGGGACTTGAGCCGCTGTGGCTGCTCACCCTGTGCCTTGTGCCTTTGGCTTGGGACCAACTTGAGGTGCGTTGCCTGGTGACAGTCACACCTGGCGGGGCTGCTGGACAGGTCTGCCCCCAAGCGTGGGATGTGGGCACCCGCTCCCCTGAGTGTGGCTGCTGCCGCTGGCACGCGCCGCTCTAACTCATCAGGTCACGCTTCCTCTTTCTTGAGGTTCGGAAGATGCCGCCGCTGACGACGCCGATGACGACGCGGGAACGGTGCCGGCAGCAGACACCCGGGGGCTGCTGGAGGCCGGTGGTGCGTGGGACTCTGAGGACGACTCTGAGAGCTGCCCGATCTGTCTCAACACTTTCAGGGACCAGGCCGTGGGGACGCCGGAGACCTGCTCCCACTACTTCTGCCTGGACTGCATCGTGGAGTGGTCCAAGGTGAGGCCCCCGGGGCGGGCCCGGCTCTGCTCTGCGGCGGCCGCGGGGGTGCGCTGCAGCGGAGGCAGGACCGGCGGGTCCCTCACGGGGGCCTGCAGGCGAGGGGCCGGCCCTCGAACGGGGCGGAGGGCCCGTACCAGGAACACGCAGGTGTTTCATGATGAGGCTGAGGAGTAGCACCTCTCCTGCATTTTAAACTTTTTATTGTGAAAATTCCAGAAGTGTAGACAAGGACGAGGATGAGCAATGTCCCCCTACCCCCCACCCCCGTGGTGACCCGTGTCCTCAGGAGCTGCGGCCTCGGCCTTTCTCACTCCTGCCCCGCCTCGCCCCGCCCTTGCGGGGGGGAGGGCACAGAGCTCCGCGGCGGCGTGTGGCCCCGACACCTGGCGGGGCCCGGCGGCCCCAGCGCCCAGCCTCGCGCGGCCCGACCCCCCGCAGCCCCGAGGCATCCCTGTGCAGGGGGCTCCTGGCCCAGGACAGAGCTGCCGCTCCTGTGGGGCTGCGGGCCTGCTGTGCCCCGAGGCAGCTCTCTACCTCTGCCTCTGCCTCTGGCACGCGGCTCCCGCTTGGTGGCGGGAGGCCCCCCACGCAGGTCAGGCTGGGCGCCGGGCGCTTTGGGCAGGCGAGGGCTCCCTGCAGTCGAGGGGCGCTGGCCGGCCCCACCAGCGCAGACACTTTCTGGACGTGGGCACTGCTGGGGTGCTGAGTTCAGCGGGATGGCTGGGTACAGGGCCGGCGAGGCTCTAAAGTGACGCTGTACTTACAAGCACGTCCAAAAAGACGTTTCAAGAGCATTTCTAAGACGACTGGGAGCAAGTGAGGAAGGGCTGCCTCCTGTAGGCTCCCTGCAGGGGGCCCTGTGGCAGGCGCGGGCTCACCAGAGCACTGGGGTGGGCGGGGCGGTTCCTGCAGGCGGGGGGTGCGGGCTCCTGAATCTTAGGGCTCCTCAGCCCCAAGGGAGGCCACCTGCGGGCGCGGGCACGGGTGCGGAGACCGGCCGACCGGGGCTCTTCTGTAAGCCTGTGTGCAGCCCGGCGGGCGGCTCGCCCCGCACGCCGGGTCAGGGGCCTCCCACCGGAAGTGAGGGGGCCTCTCCGCCACCCTCACAGCGAGCGTGGGCACAGCAGGTCCTGCCACCAAGGCGAGTGGAGGGTCAGGGAGAGGTTTCCAAACGGGCAGCGAGCGCAGCAGGCGTCGGGACGCATGGGCCGCGCACCGCGTGGGCATGTTGGGCCAGGGCGCGGCCAGCCCTGGAGGTTCCCGTGGGGGGCGGGCCCCCCGTGGGCGGGGAGGAGGCAGCCTGGGCCTCTCAGCCGGCCATGGTGCGGTAGGTCCCCCAGCAGGGCGCGCCCTGGGACCCGAAGGCCAGCGAGAGGCAGGACGCGGTGCCCACGGCAGCTCCGCTCCACACCCACTCGGGCGCCGGCCCAGGAGCAGGAGCCGCATGGGGCTGCCTGGTGGGGGGGCGCCGAAGCACACGGCTCGGTCGGGGTGACCTGCGGTGAGTGACGCGCCGAGCAGCAGCCACGGACGGACGACAGAGGGCTCTGGGGGGACCCTGTTAGCGAGGCAGGGAGAGGGCGTTTGCAGCGTGACCGATGAGCGAGACCCTTGGGGTTTACTGAGAACCATCTGGCAGCCTCGTGGCGACACTGGCAGAGGCTTCAAACAGGAGGGGTCCCCAGGCCACCCCCGCGCGCCCCTCGGCGCCGTGACCGTGCTGGGCACACCCACAGGGACGCGCGCCCGTCTGCCCCGCGGCTCTGCCGCCTGGCACGGGGCCAGCATGGGGGCAGCGTTCGATGTCCGGGGCGGAGGCGCTGCCTCGGGTGAGGGGCCGGCGGCGCAGACGGCGGCCTGGGGCCCTGAGGCGTTCCGGTCTCCTGTCTCTTGCAGAACGCCACTTCCTGCCCGGTGGATCGGACTGTGTTTCACTGCATTTGCATTCGCGCCCGGCTCGGTGGGGAGGTCCTGAAGAAGGTGAGTGTCGGCGCTGGGGCAGCGCCCCCTTGTGTTCACCACGCGCCCCGTCTCACGGGAAAACCCGCTTTCCGAGTCGCTTTCCTGACACGGGTGAATATTGGTCACATGCTGTTTAGGCATCCACCAGAACGCTCCATGCAGGCGTGAACTGGGGGCGGGGGGGCTGGAGGTGCAGCCCTTTCTGCCCGCCATGTGCGTTCTGGGGAAGACGGGGGCGGGGCTGTTTCCCGGTGGGCAGCTTCCCAGGCCTCCCCTCCACGCCCACGTGCCCCTTCTCCCTCCCAGAGCTGCTCCCCAGCCCCGGCCGCTGAGGGGAAGAGCAGCCCAGGCCCAGGGACCAGGTTTCGGGTTGCTCTTCTGCGTTTTAGGAGGGCCCCCCACCTCCTGACATCGAGGACGAGCACTGGGGAGGCTGCTGGAGTCCGGCCGCAGGGCTGAGCGCAGACCAACGAGCCCGGGGCGTCTCCTCGCTGCGGGCCGGCTCTCTGTCTGCGGAGAGCACACAGCCGCCGGTGCCCGGGCCGGAGCCCCTCGTCGGCCTCCCTGCGCCGAGCCCGCACCCCCTGGGGTGCTCTCGGGCCTGGGCTGCAGGCGGCAGCCTTGGCTCTGCTGGGCGGCCTGGAGAATTGGCCGGTGAGGCGTGCGGCCCCGGGTGCTGCCTGGGCAGGAGAGGCCGGGGCGAGTGCCCACGAGACTCCCAGTCAAGTCGGGGAGCGCGGCCTGAGAGCGGCTGTGTGGGCAGCCCAGGGTGCAGGCTGGCAGGGGGCCTTGGCCCCGGGGCACGGGGCACGGGCGGAGGGCGTGCCCGGTGCCGCTTGGGCAGCACGGAGGGCCGTCGGGATGCGCTCCCCCGGCCAGGGCTCCGGGTGGCGGGCCGGGGACACGTCGCGCCCACAGACCGCGCACGGGACAGCACACGGATGATGGCCCCTGAGAGCGCCTGCGACGGTGGGGGGTCTCCGTGCCCGGCTGTGACTGCTCGCGTGTGGGGTCGTGTTTCCACATCTTTGATTACGGGACAGTTTTCGAGAGACGAGCGCTGCTGCCTGGACGCTGCTTCCCTGTTCTTGCAGCCGCCCAGCGTGGTGGGGCTGGGCTCCCCGCAGCCGTGGGGCCCTGCTGTCCCCGCTGCTTCCCTGGCGGGGCCCCCCTCTTGAATCAGTGTTTTCTTCCTGGGGAACCACCTGGAAGCTGATGGAGCGGCGGCGGGTCAGCCGCAGGCACAGTGCCGCTGCGCGGGCTCCGGGTCGGGCTCCAGGGGCCTCGTGAACAGAGTGCCTCCCGCCTGCAGGTCCCGGTGGAGAATGCCCGCGCTGGAGAGGAGGAGGAGGACCCGACCTTCTGTGAGGTGTGCGGCCGCAGTGACCGGGAGGACCGCCTGCTCCTCTGTGACAGCTGTGACGCCGGGTAAGCGCGGACGGGCCCGCCAGCCGCCCTGCGCAGCTGGCCCTCCTGCCTGGAGCCAGAGAGGCAGAGGAGCCCCTCCCCTGCCACACAGGAAGTGAGTGCGTGCCCTCCCGCTGGAGGCCACACCGCGTCCGCTGGTGCGCGGCCTGCCGTCCCTGCCGGGGGTGTGACGCTGGCCGGCAGGCCTGCGGGCCGCCATTGTCGCCGTCCCTCCCTCCGCCTGTTCCCACACGTGGGCGGAGGCTGCCTGCGGCGGTGTGCGTCCTGCGTCCAGATGAGGGAAAAGGCCAGGAAGATGCGGGGGCGGGGCGGCCAGCATCGCAGTGGGTCCGTGCTGACCCCTAGTGCAGGCCAGGCTCCGGCCGGTGGGCGCCGCGACGGCTTGCCCCACTGCCCACGCCCTCAGCTGCCAGTGGCCCCGCGCCCAGCAGCTGCTTCCTGTCTCCCCGCCTCCGCGGGGCTTTCCCTGCGTGTCTGAAGAGCCCGCCTGCCGTGAAGTGGCTGTGGGAGCCGAGGCTTCTGGGGCACGTGTGCCCGAGGGCAGTGGAAGAGGCCGGCCAGGTGGGCCTGGGGCTTCTCCTGCGCCACAAGCAGCGGGGTTGAGGGCGAGGCCGTGAGGCAGGAAGCGGGAGGCAGGAGCCTGGGCGCCCGGAGCGCCTTGCGGCGGTGGGGGGGGGCTCCTGCTTGTCCCCGGGCACCCGGGCTTGACCCTGCCCTCTGGTCGTCTTGTGTCCCGGCCTTTCTCACAATGTGCAGCTCGCAGCCAGGTTTTGGGACCTTTCACTCGACCTGGTGGCCTTCCTTTGCTTTTGGGATTCTTCAGAGCTGCTACCCTGTGGCCGGACGGCCTCAGCGCAGACTCTCTGGGCTCCTGGAGGATGGGAGTGCGGCCCGGAGCCTGAGCGTCCAGCGCACGGCTCAGCCGTCGCCACACCGCGGGCCTGCTTGCCGACAGAGTGAGCCGTAGGCATCCTGGGGACGCAGGGCCGGAGGCACCTTAGCGCTCCCTAGGGTCACACGTGTCCTCCTCCCTGAAGGGAGGGTCTGGGACGGCTGGACACGTGCGCCTGGGGGAGGGCATGGGTTAGCTGGGCCCATCACCGGCCTTGTCTTGGCCGCTGCCCCTCACCCCCCGCCCCCGGCTGCTAAAGCCACAGCCTAGCAGGGCTTTTCGGCGGCCTCCACGGCACCGGTGAACCCGGCGGAGACCATTCGAGCTTTTAGTCACTAAGCCAAGGGTTCCCTTAAGGTCAATTTTGTTAATTCTATCAACATTTGTATTTAATAACTGTAACAATGATTTCGGGGGTTTTTACATCTTCGGTAATTTCTTTTAGTATTTTAAAGTAAAAATATAAATTGAACACGTTGATTTTACTTTTACATCCTTGAGAAATTCCGCAGATGGACCCCGATGGTCTGAAACGTTGACACGGACGCACACGGTGGTTCTCGGGCGTCTGTAGACACCCCTGCGCTCAGTGTCTGTGGTCTGCGAAACATTCTTACAGTGGTTCCTTCAGCTTAAAAGTGACAAACCGGAGGTTGTGCCATTGTTCATTTAAAAACAGAATCGCAGGCCACTTGGAGGTACAGAAAGCACCAGCTTTTTTCCCTGTCCCGTGAAACACGGGTGGTTACTTCTGAGGTCTTTACAGTGGAAAGGTGCTGTTTGCCAGGGAGGCAGGACGCCTCAGGGCCTCCCGGAGCACGGGGCGGGGGCTGCCCCCCCGCGGCAGGAGGGATTCTTGGGCGCATGGGGGGTCTCTGAGCTGGCGGGCAGCATGGGGAGGAGGGCAGCGGCCAGGCCGTGGGGTCCTGGGGAGGCGCCGTGGCCCCGCCCCGCCCTGGCCGCTCCCCAGAGACCCCATCTCCGAGTGCAGGCGGCGGCGTGGTCTCGGGCGCGTCTGGGCGCCTGCTTGCGGGCGCGCCCGCTCGTTGCCACAGGGCTAGGCCCTGTCCGACGGGCCCTTCACTCCCCACAGGTACCACATGGAGTGCCTGGACCCCCCGCTCCAGGAGGTGCCGGTGGACGAGTGGTTCTGTCCGGAATGTGCCGTCCCCGGAGCCGCTGCGCCTCCCACAGGTAGTGGGGCGCCTTGGGGGCGCGGGCCCAGCGGGGGGGCCGGCCGTGCAGCAGCCCAGCGTCTCCTCTCTCCCAAGACACAGACTCTGTGACCGAGGAGGAGGTCTCCCTGCTCCTGGCCGACGTGGTGCCCACCGCCAGCCGGCTGCGGCCTCGCATGGGGCGGACCCGGGCCATCGCCCGGACGCGGCAGAGCGAGCGAGTCCGAGCCACGGTGAACCGGAACCGCATGTCCACGGCCCAGAGCACCCAGGTGGGTGCGGCCCTCCAGGCCCGGGGTGCCCCAGGGGGCCGCGGGGCAGCTCGGCCCCGCAGTCAGCGTCCGCCCGCAGGAGGCCCGGCCAGGCTGGGAACGGCGGGGAGGCGGGGCCCCAGGGCCCGGGCCCCTGGTCACGAGTGCCTCTGCCGCCCCTGCTCCCAGAGCAGACCCCTGAAGTCCCTCCCGACGCCCTGTGGGCTCGGCGTGCGCCGCCGCCTGGCAGTGTGGCCCCCCCTCTCCCACTTGGAGCCCCACCTGCCTCTCACGCCCGCCTGGCCTTTGCCCTCGGCCCTGGCCCTGTGCCCGCGTCGTGGGGAGGCCTCCCTGCCCTGGGGAAGTGAGGGGGGGGCGCCCGCGGTTGGGGGGGAGCCGGGGCCGTGTGTGAGCGCATCCCATGGGGGCGCTGCCGGGGTCCTCGCCGGGCCCGGTGTGGGAAGCGCGCCTGGCAGCCCCCCGCCCAGCAGCCCCGCTTCTACGCAGCACATCCCGCGGTACCTCATGTCCTCTCCGCTGGACGAGACCATCGAAGCCGTTGTCTCTGGCCTGAGCACGGCCGTGTACCCACGCCCCGTGGCGCCGCTGGCCCCCGCCAAGCGCAGGAGGAAAGCAAGTAAGCCCGGGCGTGGGGGCGGGGGCGGCAGCGCGCGTGTCCCTGGCGGCACGGGACCTGGTTGGTCTCGGCACCGACTCCCTTGGGAGCCGGTCCCCATGGGAGCCCCCCCGTGAGGGTGTCTGGGTGCGGCCCCCCTCAAACCCCCCGCAGTGCCTGAGGCCTGTGCGCGGGGACCCGGCAGCGCGCCAGGGAGCCCCGGCCGGCTCTCTGACGTGGGCGCAGATGGGACGATTCATTGTCTTTGCTCTCTGTGCGCTCGGGGCTCCTCGTCCTCTCTCCGTCCACCTCGGCAACCCCGGCCCCTCAGGGCCGTCCCTCCCCGGCAGTGACGGGGACATTCTGGGAGGAGCCTTGTGGCCGTGGGTGTCCGCCCTCATCAGGCCTCCGTCCGGCGCCGTGCTGTGGACGCTGCCGCGCTCCCTGCGTCCCTTTCTGTGTCCTGCTGCTCGAGGCTGTGCGTCCCCCTTGTTGAATGCGTGTTGAGTCCACATGTTGTGCGGGCTCCTGCTTGTTTGGGGGTTGCGTTGCAGGCTTTAAAAAGCACCTGGACCGAGGCGCACGTGTGGAGGCGGTGCGTCCCTGTGGCTCCCCGCCCGCCCGCCCGCCAGCGTCCCACGGCCTTCAGGTCGCTCCGGGTCAGCCTGCCCACGTCCAGCCCGCGGACAGGCGTGAGGATGCCGGGCGTGTGCTCTGGCCGTTGCCCAGCAGCGAGGCGGCCTTGGGGTCGCCAGTGTCTGTCAGCTTCTGTTCACTGCCGAGGGGTGGCTGCGCTGTGTGTGGCGTGTGGCGTGTAGCGTGGCCAGCCCCCGGCGTGTGAGCAGCGGTGCTGCGTCTGGGGAGGGGGACGGCGCTGCGCACAGGGCACAGGGCCTGGGGCAGGCGCGTCCATGTCGCGGGACAGCCGGGGGCTCCGCGCGTGTGCCCCCGCCTCCGGTGGGGCCGCAGCCTGTGCTCCAGGACCTGCTGGCGCTGTGCCGGCCCGCGTGTGTGCCTCGCCTTGGGGGTGGGGACGGCTCGCGGGAGCTCCACAGCTGTCGCTCGGTGGCCTTCCCAGCGGACAAAGCAGGACACCCGTCCTCGGGCCCACGGACGCCTGAGCCGCAGCCAGCGCTGCGGGGCCCTTTCCCCGGGCACAGCTGGCGCGTCCTGTGGCCTCCCTGGCGTCGACCCACTGCCCGGGTCCGACGTGGGCCGCTCCCTCGTGTCCCCCGTGGCCGGAGGACAGCCCCTGGGGGAAACTTCAGGCGCTGCTCTTGGTCCCCGAGGCGCGTCCAGGCCAGGATGTCACTGCCCCTGTGCTGAGGGGACGAGGTGGCTCTCCGGTTGCGCCCTCATCTGCTGTTTTGCTTTGTTTGCTGGTCTGTGTGCGTTGCAGCAAAGCTGCTGCTGGGGGCGCGCTCGGCTCGCACCTGCGGACGGACCGGCCCGCGTCTCCCCCCCCGCCCCCCCGCAGCGCTCCTCCTGCCAAGTCCTTCTCACGGCTGTTCTTTTGTCTGTGAACGTCTTGCTCTGTGTCTTAAACGAGGGGCCTCTCTCGGTTTTTAACGTAACCGCGCCCCAGTGCCCATTGTTACACGGGAGAAAATGAGCACAGATGGCCTCACGCTACACGGTGGCCGGTCAGTGCCGGACGTGCTGGGTTGTGAATGTTGTAGGGTTTTTTTAAGGATTTTACTTTTTTTAAAGATTTACTTACTTTTATGGTGAGGGGAAGGGAGGGAGAAAGAGAGGGAGAAACATCCATGTGCGGCTGCCTCTTGTGCGCCCCCCGCTGGGGACCTGGCCCGCACCCAGGCCTGTGCCCTGACGGGGAATCGAACCGGCGACCTGTTGGTTTGCAGGCTGGCTCTCAATCCACTGAGCCGCACCAGCCAGGGCTGCTTACGTATTGTTAAACGTTTTTGAGCAGCTATCGTCTTTCATTTTCATTTACTTATTTTTAGAGAGAGGGGAAGGGAAGAAGATAGGAAGAGAAACATCGATGTGTGAGGGACACATGACCAGTTGCCTCTAGCACACCCCCAACCAAGGACCAGCCCGCCACCTGGGCGTGTTCCCTGACCGGGAATTGAACCAGCAACCTTCTGGTTTGCAGGATGATGCTCAGCCCACTGAGCCACACTGGTCAGAGTTGTCATAGGATTCTAAAAAACCAGTTTATTTGAATCCAGAGCCAAGTAAGATCCTCTTGACTGCTGGCCGTGCCCAGTGGGTGTCTCTGCGTCCTCTGGGTCATAGGGGTCTTCTGTCCCGAGTATCCCCAGTCAGTTCTGCCCAGCGCACGGCCGGCCAGTCCCTGCCCAACTGCATCCTGGTGGTTGGAGCCTGGAGGCGCGCACAGGGGCAGGTGGGGGTGCAGCTCGGTCCGTGTGTGTTTGCCAGTTGCCTGGAGGGTCGATGTGTTTCCATCAGAGCTCGGTCTGTGGACATTCTGGGACCATGGAGGGGCTGACCTGCAGCAGCCGCCCAGCTCTGGGGGGGCTCTCCCCACCGGGGTCTGTCTGGGTTCACAGACCCGAGGGCCGCTGCACTGGGGAGTGGCGCCCCCCTGGAGGCCGTGCGGGGCTCCGCGCCAGTGTGAGCTTGCAGGCCCGGGGACAGCATGGGCTCTGACAGCGTGGTGACGTTCGAGCCCATGCCAGGGCCCATGTGTGGGCTCCCCGGGAGCCCCGCCACCCTGCCGAGGCTCCTGTACCGCTCAGGCCTCCAGGCTGCCGATCGTCCCGCTGAGCCGGCCGTGGCAGTCCCACGGCGGCTGGTCAGGACTGAGCCCTGGGTGCACACACAGGCTGGGGTCAAGGTGTATTTCACCAGAAAGGCCCCTGAAGCCACTTGTCCTCAAGTCCCTGGGGAGAGCCCCCATGGACCCCTCAGCGGGCACTGAGCTGCGTCCCCCATCCCTGTGCCCTTGGCCGTCGGGGTTTGCGTTCCTGACCTGGCGTTGTCTCTGACTCCGACGTCTGCACCGGCGCGCGGAGTGGGTCCGCACAGCACAGCAGACCCGAGCCGCGCCGTCCTTGCTGGGCACGGCTGCCCCTCGCTCCAGAGCAGGTAGCAGGCCTTTGAGGTGAAAAGGCCCCACGCCTGTGCCCGGTTGTCCCCAGGCTGGGTCCTGGCGTGCGGCTACAGGCCGGAGGGGATACCGGGGGCCACGGCGTGAAGCACAGACCCTCCATGTCCTCTTTGTAGGGCGACGGAGGAAGGTGCGGGGGAGGAAAACCCAGTCCAAACCGGCCGCGAGCGGCAGGAGCTCTGGGTCAAGGTCCAAACGACGCCAAGGCCGCGCCAAGAGGAGAAAAGGGAAGAAGATAAAGGTGACACCGGTTTCCCCGCGGCAGGTGGCGGGAGCCCTGGCAGCGGCCCCCTCTGTCCATCAGAGGCTCACGGGCACGGCGGGCGTCCCTGCAGCCCAGCGTGAGCGGTCCTGGGCCCCGTGGGGCCGGGCGTCCTGAGGGGCCGCGTGCAGGCCAAGCCGCCGACTGTCCCGTTCCAGGAGCCGCTGGGGCACGTCGGGGGGCAGCCCCGCACAGCAGCCCTCCAGGGCAGAGCTGTCCGTCCCGGCCGAGCCCCCAGGCGCCCAGGTCCCCTGTCGTGGTACTGCGAGCGCCCCCACCCCGGCCCCCAGAGTGGGTGTCAGAAGCATGTCACACGTGAGACACATGGACATCGCGTGTCCACTGCATCTGCACGTGATCGGCACATGCGGTCGCCCTCACTGCCCCGTCAGTGGGAATCCACGCCGTGCAAACGCCCGTGGACACGCAGTAGGCGCCACGGGGAGGGCCCTGGTGTGAGCTGGAGTCCGAGGGGTGGCCGCACCCGGGCCGCCCGCTCCCACCGGTGGCCCGGCTCCGTGCGCCACCCAGGGCCCGGCCCGGCCCGGCCGCGCCCCGGGCCGCTGTGCTGGGAGCTGCTCCCGCGGGGCCCGCCCCTGCGGTGTCAGTCGGCCCCGGGCGCGTGGCCCGTTTCCTCCCCCATGCCCGGCGGTGGGCGCAGCCGCCTGGGCGCCGGCCTGGCGCGGGCTCGGGTGCAGGTCACGCCGTGCAGGTTCCAGCCTCACTGACCGGCTGTCCTCCCTGTCGCCGCGGTGCAGAGCGAAGCCACGGCCCGCTGCCGTATCGCGCGGGCGCTGGGCCTGCGGAGGCCGACCCGCGGGGCCTGCATCCCCTCTGTGTACAAGCCTGCGGACCCCTCCCTGGGGCTGATGCGTGCGGACATCGGGGTCGCCCCCCTCTCTCTGTTCGGAGACCCGTCTGAGCTGGACCCTGTCGACAGGTGACTGCAGGGGGACGGCACTGGGCAGACGCCGCCCACGGAGTCGGGGAGCCAGCTGTCAGCCCCGCCCCCGCCTTAGCTGGCAGCGGGCGTGTCCCCTGTTCGTGACATGAGGGAGGTGCAGCCTGCTTCCCAGTCACTCCCCAGCGGGCGGTGGGTAAAGGGACCTCCATTTCCGCTCGCCCCGCGGTCGAGAGAGCCGTCCGCCCCGAGCAGCGGCCTTAGCCTGTCATGCGGGGCCCTGCGGAGCAGCGGCCAGGAGATGTCCCCTGCCCTCGGGCACGGGTCACCGGGTCACCTGCTCCCTCCGGCCTGTGTCTTCCCAGTAGCAGTGAAGAGCTGGCTGCCAGCCCTGCGTCCCCGCTGAGAGCCAAGAGGAGGGTTCTGTCCCACTCGGCCCTGCGGTCGCACCAGCCCGTGGCCAGGCCTGTCTCTGCGGGGCTCTCCAGGTGTGTGGGGCGGGGTGGCAAGCGAGTGGTCCGGGGTGCGCCCTGACCCCAGGCCCTGAGAGGCCCGAGGCCTCACCCCTGTGCACCCTGAAGGGGAGGTGAGGGCATGGGGGCGACCGGGTAGCCGCAGGCTCTGCCGCAGAGCCCGCCAGCCGGGGTCGCTGGGCAGGAGCCAGGCTGCTGGGTGTGCCGTTGGCTGGGTCTTTTCTAATACTTGAGCCTCGGGGGAAGAAGGACGGCGGCTCCCACGGAACGGGCAGATGCTCGCCTGGCCGCGCCAGCCTCTCGGTGCTGCTGGCCGGTCACACCCCACACACCCTGTTCCCTCTCGTGGGAGCCGCTGGGGGGCCTCACTGCTGGCGCGTGGGGGCGGCAGGGGCGGCAGTGGCAGGGCCTGGTCTGCGCCGCAGGAGGAGCCCCCCCAGTGCAGTGGCCGAGCCGGATGCGGGCGAGGCGCCCGTCCCGGACCTGCTGGGCAGCATCCTGTCGGGCCAGAGCCTGCTGCTGATGGACGGCGCCGACGTCACCATCCACCGTGACGGCTCGCTCAGCGCCAAGCGCGCAGGTGAGGCGGCCTCCGCAGGCGGCACGGGGACACGGGCGCGCGCTCCACGCGGCGCTCGGGCGGGGTCGTGCCCTCAGTCGTTTTCCTCTGTTAGTTTTCCTCGTGTTCTGAGCAGAGCTGGGGAGCAGCTCGTCTAGGTGGGGACGAGCACACAGGCCCTGCAGCCACCCGTGGCTGGAGTGCCCCGCCCCGGGCCAGCCCCGCCGAGGCCCCTCGCCTGGGTTCTGGCAGGTTCGGGGCCGGGTCAGGCCGGGCGCGGAACTGGGCGGCCAGTGGCGGACGGGGCTGGGACAGTGGACAGCCCTCCCTCGTCGCCCCAGGGAAGGGTCTGGAGTGGGCGGGGCGCGTCCCGATGGCGGACAGCAGCCCGCACCCACCACAGGACTGGCCGCCCGCAGGGCAGGCAGGAGGGATGTAAGACGCACGCCTGAAAACAGTCGTTTGGATAAAGGCTGAGCACGGTGCTGAGCTTTTCAAGGACGGGGTGGGCCCTGACGGCTGTTCGCCTTCTTCTTTCAGCGCCCATTTCTTTCCAGCGCAACTCAGTGGGTTCGTCCCAGAAGGGAGAAGGCCCGGGGCCCAGGGACGGCCCGCAGCCCCCAGCACCAAACCCGGGGAGGCCAGGACGCCTGGGATCACGCTGCCAAGGCAGGCCCGCCCCCTCCCGCGTCCCCGTGCTCACGTCCGGGGCTGCGGTGAGACTGGACTCTTCAGCGACCCCTCGGTCAGGCCAGGCCCAGAACCTGTCGAACGCAAGCGGCCCTGGCTTGGAACGACAGGACCGCCCCCACGTGAGTGGTGGCGATAAGCCCCCTGCGCCTCTCCGATTCACGTCTGAGGCCTCACACGGCGGCTCTGACTTGCCAGCCAAGAGCGCGGTGCCAGGACAGGCCCCAAAACTAGCTCCTAGGAGGACGGACATCTCCGAGCTTCCGCGGATACCGAAGATCAGGAGGGACGGCAGCGGGCGGGCGGGCTCAGCCCCGGCCCCGACGGGTGGGCAGCCTGTCGAGATCCCCAGCTCCTGCATCAGTCGGCTGACGGGCAGGGAGGGCCCTAGGCGGCCTGGCCTCGGCCCCCGGGCCGAGGGCGAACCCCGTGGCAGGGGCGCCCAGGAGCCCAGTGTGCACTCTGGGGCCGGTGCCCAGTCCCCCGCCCCGCTGGGGCCCTCAAGGGGGAAGGGTGGCAGCTCGACCTTCGAGAGCTTCCGGATCAATATTCCTGGGAACACGGCGCACTCTAGCAGGCTCTCCAACCCTGGCTTCTGCCACACGTTCCGGCCTGTCGAAAACAAGGTGCAGAGGAAAGAGAACCCCTCGCCCCTCTTCTCCCTCAGGAAGACGAAGCAGCTCAAGAGCGAGATCTACGACCCCTTCGACCCCACGGGCTCCGACTCCAGCTCCGCAGGCAGCAGCCCCGAGCGCCTGGGCTCTGGCCTCCTGCCCTCGGAGATCACCCGCACCATCTCCGTGGGCAGCCCCAGGACGCCGCCCTCTCAGACTGTCCGCTGTGTCACCTCCTACACGGTGGCAGCCGCCTTCGGGGGGGGGCCCGAGCCTTCCTGGGGGCCTCCCTCCAGTGGGCTCACGCTCCAGGACGAGGGGCCTGCTGGCGAGCCGGGAGAGGAGGAGGAGGCAGCGGGGTCTGCCGGGGACCCGGGCCCAGGCGCTCGGGCACAGAGGCCATCGCCGTCCCGGCTGGAGCCCTGGGAGGACGAGGACCGCCCGCCCCGCAGCACCTTCTTCGGCTCCGAAGAGCGGACGGTGATGTGCGTGGCCGTGGCGGAGCCTGAGGCCCCACCGACGACCACCCACAGGGTCGTGGAGCTGCGGCCTCCGTCCCGCTCCCGGTCCACGTCCAGCTCCCGAGGCAGGAAGACAGGCAAGAGAAAGCAGGCTGCCGCCCGGGAGCAGAAAAGGACCCGCTCTGGCTCCCGCTCCGGCTCCCGCTCCGGGGACAGGAGCTCCAGGTCTGCGTCACCACCAGTGGGCGAGGACCACGCCAAGAAGCACCAGCCCAAAGTCAGGGGCCGGAGGTCTTCCAGCGACCGCTCCAGCAGCCTCGAGCGAGCCAAGCGGAAGAAGGCCAAGGACAGGAGCAGGGAGAGGAAGCGGGAGTCCTGGGGCCGAGGCCGGCGGAGGTCCCGGTCCCGCTCCGGCAGCCCTGGCAGCTCCTCCCACGAGCACCGTGAGAGCCGGAGGAGGAAGAAGCGGCGGTCAGGGTCCAGGTCTCAGGGGAGGGGGTGCTCTCCCCCCAGCAGCCTGGAGAGGGCCCGGAGGCCCCACCACCCCAGGGGCAGGAGCCGCGAGCGGCCCCGAGACAGGCGGGGCTCCCGTGAGAGGAGGAAGCACAGGTCCAGGTCCCCCAGCACAGAGCACAGGTCCCGGGAGCATCGGTGGCCTCGTTCCCGAGAGAAGCGGCCTCGGCCCCGCTCCCGCTCCCGCTCCCGCTCCCCGGAGAGGAAGGGGCCCGTGAGGGAGGCGTCCCCGGCACCCCCGGCCCAGGAGGAGCCGGCGCCAGGCAGAGAGCAGCTGGCCAGACCGCCAGGTGCGGAGGCCTGGCCGGAGGGGGCTGAGGCCGACCAGGCCCCCTCGCAGGCCCCCCCTGTCCCAGAGGTGCCGTCCGAGTGTCCGCCCGAGGACCTGGATTACGGTGACTCTGTCGAGGCGGGGCACCTCTTTGAAGACTTTTCGAGCGAAGGCGTCCTCACACAGCTGGATGACATGAGCTCCCCGCCTTCCCCGGAGAGCACAGACTCCTCGCCAGAGCGGGGCTTCCCGCCCCTCCCGGCCGGGCCCCCCGCCCGCCAGCAGCCGGATGCTGGCTTGGCCGGGCCCCAGCTCAAGAGGGAGGTGCTGCCGGTCCCCAGGGAGGATTCTGTGCAGCCCGCACCCTGGGTGGAGGCTCCCCAAGAGAAGGTCCCGTCCCAGCAGGACCAGGCCAAGGCCTTCGTGCCGGGCGCCCTGGGAGGCCAGGCCGCGGGCGGGGCGCCTGCAGGGCAGGAAGAAGTCCCCTGTCAGGCGGCCGTGCTGCGGGCGAAAGCGCCGGTGAAGAGAGTCACCTGGAACCTGCAGGGGGCGGCAGGGGGTGCCCTGGCTGCGGACAGAGGCCTGCGTGAGTAGGGTGCTCCTGTGGCCCGTGGCGGGGGCGGGGTAGCGTGTAGTGTGGCACAGAGCGGCCCCCACGGGTTGCAGCAGCCTTGCAGGTCCCGGTCAGGGAGGCGGCTGCAGCACAGCCTGGGGTCGCTGTTGCTGGGACGCTTCCCTGGGACTCGGCAGCCAGGCAGCAGCCGTCCGTCCTGGGGTGGCCATGAGCACCCACCTCCCTGTGTCGCCCTCAGGGACGCCGCTCCCCAGGACCCCGCAGCCCCGGGAAGAGGCCTGGGGACCCGAAGATGGGGGCCCTGCCGTGGACACCCCGCAGGCACCCTGCCCGGAGCCCCTTCCTCCTGGTTGCAGGCTCCCAGAGCCTGGCTTCCCCAACGCTGACCTCACTCAGGTGAGTGCCTGGGCGGGAGGGAGGCCACCTTGCAGCTGGGCCATGTGGGCGGGGCCAGATGTGCAGGCAGCCTCACAGCTCCGGTGCTCGCTGCCGAGGCTCTTCGTGCCGCGGGAGCAGGAGGAGGGGTGCTGCTGGCATCGGGGCAGCGCCCAGCGGGCTGTATTTCCGCCCAGGTTTACAGCCCCAACCTGCCTCCCGCCCTGGCTCTGCCCGCGAGTGCCCTGCCCTATGCAGCGGCCAGCCAGCCCCCGGTCCAGCTCAGCCTGCAGGGCAGCCTTCCCCTGGCTGGCTGTGGGGTGGCCCCAAGCCCGGCCCCAGTGCCCGTGCCCGCCGGCCTGACCGCAGCCTCAGAGCCGGCTGGCCACGCCGTCGCTGCCACCAACAACTCAGAGGAGAAGTCGGCTGCTCCCCGGCCAGCCGCAGAGAAGGCCAAGAACGAGGAGGTGAGTCGTCGCCCCCGGGTGACCCGGGCAGGACAGCAGGAGGCCCTGCGCCTCCCCCCAGGGCCTGTGCGGCCTCCGCGCAGGACACTGGCTCACACGCCTCCCTGCCCCCAGTACATGAAGAAGCTGCACATGCAGGAGCGGGCAGTGGAAGAGGTGAAGCTGGCCATCAAGCCCTTCTACCAGAAGAGGGAGGTGACGAAGGATGAGTACAAGGACATCCTCCGGAAGGCCGTGCAGAAGGTGGGCGGCTCGCGGGGCCGTGCGCCCTGCTGGTGGGGCTCCAGGGCGGCGTTGGCCGCCAGGGCCGGGCCCTCGTTCCTTGTGGAACAGGCCGAACCACGGGGGACAGTGGCACCCCAAGGTGTCTGTGGCCGTCTTGGTGTGACCTTCGGGGGCCCCCGGGAGGTGGGCAACGTTGGGGGGTGGAAGGGCCTCTGGGTGATGGCTCCTCTGCCCCCAGATCTGCCACAGCAAGAGCGGGGAGATCAACCCTGTGAAGGTGGGCAACCTGGTGAAGGCGTACGTGGACAAGTACCGGCACATGCGCCGGCACCGGCGGCCAGAGGCCGGAGAGGAGCCTACAGCCCAGGGCGCCGAGGGCTGAGGCCGGCCCGGCAGTGCTGCGGGGCGTGGCGGCGGCAACAGACGGGGCCGCCCAGCGGTGTTTCAGGGCTCCTGTGATCACGCGTGGTCTGTGTGTCTGTCCTGCTCAGCTTCAATTGGACTTTTTTATATGTACATTATAGATACACTGTTTCATTGTGTTCTAATTTATCAAAGACAAATTATCTTTAGAAAGCTCTCCGTGGAGTTCATTCTCGGAAAGGAACCCTTGGCTGAGGTGGGGGCCTTGGAGGGTGAGGGGCTGCCTGTCTCTCGCTTAGGAGGTCCCTGCCGCCCTTGCGGGGAGCGCTCTGTAAGTTACGGCCCGGGTGTGGGGCCGGTCCTGCGGCTTCCGGCAGGGCACGGCGCGGGCGGGGGCGGGGGCGGGGGCCGGGGCGGCCGGTGCTCTTTGAGCAGGGTGCTGGCTCCCAAAGGTGCGGCCTGCGTTTCTTCCTCGTGGAGGCAGAGAAAGTGGGTACGCAGGGGAGGCCTGAGGGGGGGGACCGCCCCCGCCCGGGCCAGGCGCCCGGCTCGCCCCAAGCAGGACACCAGCACCAGCTCTCAGTCCTCTTTATTGGGGGGGGGCGGGGGGGCGGCCCGGCCTAGGGCAGCTCCCCCTTCTCCACCAGGAAGCGCTCCAGGTCCTCCAGCAGGCTGTTGAAGCTGGACAGGCAGAGGTCGAGGCTGCCGCTGTTGAGGGAGGAGGCGCCTTCACGCTGGGCGCCCTCCAGGTGCAGCCGGCACAGCCAGGGCTCCAGCTGTGGGGGGCACAGTGAGGCGCGCGGAGGCCTGGGGCGGGGGGGCCGCCCCCGCCTGGGGCCCTGCCCTCACCTTCACCAGGATCAGGCTCCTCTCCTTGGGCCTCCCGGCCGACAGGTCCTGCCCGAAGCCCAGGTAGATGGTGTAGTGTGGGGAGCCCCGGCGCCGGCGAGTCCGGAAATCCACCAGCTCTGCAAGACGCAGGATGGGCTCCAGTGGGCGGGCGGGCGGGCGGGCGGCCTTTGGTCCCAGGACCACTGTCACTGACCTCGGAAGAAGGTGCCGAAGTCGAAGATGGGGGTGTCGCTGTTCCTCTGCAGCAGGCGTGCGGGGCTGGAGGGCTGGTCCGAGCCCAGGGGGCCGCCCAGTTCCCAGTAGACCTTGCACTTGCCCCCGCGCCGGGCCCACAGCTCGGACCCCCGCAGCTCGAGCTGCAGGCCAGGGGCCACGTGCTGCAGCAGCTTCTCCGTGTACCACAGCTGCTTCTGGTCGGGCAGCTCCGCTGGGCTGGGGAAGGCCACCAGCTGCGGCTCCGGCTCCACGGCCCACAGGGTGGGGTCCGGGGGCCCGTACAGCAGCACGCAGCTCGGGCCGCCGACCAGCTCCTGCAGCATGGTGCGGCCCTTGTACAGGATGGTCACCAGCAGGGCCCCCGGGCTGGGCTCTGCCTGCGGCTGGAGCTGTGGGCGCTGGGGCCCCGCCATCTGGGGGCAGGGCTCCGTCTCCAGAGGCAGCGGCCAGGGCTCTGGGGCTGGACCTGGGACGGGAGGGGGCGGCCTGAGCAGGGCACCTGGCCCCCAGCCCCGCCCTTCTCTGCACATCCCCTGGCTCTGCTCACCTGTCACCTGGGCCTGTGACGGGCTCGGGGCCACCTCTGCAGTCCACGGAAGGTACAGCCCCCCGGCAGGGAGCTCCGGACCTGAGAACCAGGACAGTGGAACCGCTGCACTGGCTCGGCCCTGCTGGAGCCGCGCCCCGCCCCCCCCCCGCCCCCCTCCCCCGTGCAGGGGCCTCCGGGGCCCAGCACCTGTTGAACACAGCCGCTGACCTGGAGCCTCCAGGGAGCCTGGGCCCGACCCCTGCACAGATTCCATCAGGTGGTCCTCCAGGCAGCTCTGATGCAGGGCCTGGAACAGGATGTCTTGCAGGCAGTCGGCTGGGCCCGCAGGAGGGCACAGGACGTGGGGCCCGGGGCTCAGCCTGGCCGGTCCAGGCCCCAGACTCTCACCGGCACCTCCCGCCAGGCCTGGCCCAGGGAACCCAGCCTGCAGGGGAAGACAGTGCCAGCGTGAGCAGCCCCTGCCCAGGAGCTGGGGGGCGGGGCGGGGGGCGGGGGGCCTTACCTGCACAGGGGGCACATCTTCAAGGGCCTTGTCCTCTCTGCGGGTAGTGCCTGGACCTCCTGAGGGCGAATTGGGGTGGGGGCAGCTCTGGGACCCGAGACACGGAGCTGGCCCACGGGCCCCCCGCAACAGGCCCCATCAGCCGTCTCCTGGGTACCCCTGCCTGCGCCCAGGCACCGCCCTCTCCCGTGCCCGTTTCCAAAGCCGGGGGCCGAGCAGGGTCCCCCACTGCTCACCTCTGCAGCCCACTGCAGGCCTGAGTGCGAACACCTTGTGCGGGTCAGTGGGGTCTCCCGAGTTGTCGTCTACCATCAAGAAACGCTTCGTGCTCTCCAGGGCGCAGCGGAAGTTGGTTTTCCAGCCGGCGCGCAGTGGGCCCTCAGCGGCAGTCGGCAGGTCTCCTGCACCTCTGCTGGGCGGCCACCTGCCGCGGGCCACGGCCCAGGCCTGGGGAGGGGGATGGGGGTTGTGGGCCTGGGGGCGCGGGCGGCCAGCCGGCCGGCCCTCCCTCCCCGGGCTGGCTGGGGTCCCACCTTGAAGATGCGGGAATCAGCCTCACCCAGGTCCTTTCGCCCGAAGTGTTTCCAGGGCACGCGGAAGAGCGTGCGGGCCGCGTCCAGCCACCGCAGCCCCTCGTAGCGGCCGCTGCTGACTGCGTCTAGAAGCCAGTCCGTGAAAAGCACGCGCGGCGCCCCCCTGCGGGAGGAGCAGACAGCGGGTCAGCGCGCGGGCCCCGCCCGGCGCGCGAGGCCCGGCGCAGGCAGGCGACCGGCTCTCACCTCTCAGGATCCGCGGCCATGGCTCCCGCCGACGGCGTCTGCGGTGGCGGCGGGCGGTCAGGTGTTCCCGCAGGCAGCGGTGGCGGGGTTGCTGCTGTGCCGCCACGGAAGTGCGGCAGGTGTCACAGGCGTGGCCCCGTTGTTAGGGCGTTGGGGTCACAGATGCGGGTCGAGAATTACGGCCACGACGTTGCCCAGGTGCAGGTTCCTTGGCAATGGTGGCGACGGGTGTGAGTACAGGTGTGGCGACGCGCACACGTGAAGTCACAGGTGTTAAACCAGAGCCCCGGCCTGGGGGTACGCAGGCCGGACCCTGCAAAGACAAGAAGGGAGCGCGCCGCTGGAGGGCCTGGCACCGGGAAAGCGAAACCGCGGCGCCGCCAGCCGCTGGAAAACGAAACCTAACCCTCCGCCCCCGCGAGGCTGGCGCATCCCGGTCCCATCACCCCTGCCCGTGCTCAGAGGCCCCCGCCTCGCCCTCGAGCCAGGAGCCGCCTCTCTGACTCCGCGTGGGCCCGGGCCCTGCGTACCTGGAACCGGAGCCGCCGGTGCGGGAATTTTGGCGTCGCCGAGCCGCTGGGAACCGGCGCTTTTATGCTGGGGAGGCGGGGGCGGGGCGGGGCGGGGCGGGGCGGGGCGGGGGCGGGGCGTCCCGCGGAGCCCAGGCGGGTGCCGCCGAGGGCGTCACGTGCTGCGGCGGCCTGCGCCCCGCGGGCTGCGCGGCGCGCGCGCTGCGGGCCCGAGCCCTGTTCAGGCTCCCCGGTGAGGGCGCGCGCCCCGGCCGCGGTCAGCAGCGGGGGCGTCGTGGAGGGGCGAACGGCGCGGCGCGTCCCACCCTCCAGCCCCCGCCCTGGGCCTGACCATGGCTCCTGGCTCCTGTCTCACTGGGCGGCGTCCCACCCCGTCTCTTAGGCCGCTGTCCCGGCGCCTGGTGTTCACTGCCCTCCCCGGACCCCACAGGGACCCAGGCTGTGCCCCTCCGAGGTCCCGACGCCGTGCTCTCCGGGCGCTCCGAGAGTGCGGCCCCGGGCGAGGCGGCCTCAGCCTCCCCCAGACCAGGGATGTCCGCGTCGGGTCGGGAGGGGCCCGCGCGGCGCCCTCCTCGGGCCGCGGTTACCCCGGGAGGGGAACCTCCCGCCGCCAGCTGGCCGAGCCGGGAAGCCCCGCCGCAGGTGATTTACGGGAAGCGGCGCCCGCGCGCCCCGGGGAGGCATCGCCCCGCCCCCCTCCCTCGGCGCCCACCACATGCCCGGCTCGCACGCAGCCCCTGACGATGCGACTCCGAGATTCAGAAATGTCATTTTGTCACTTTATTCGCACAGTGAGGGGCAGGGAAGCTGGGAGACGGGGAGGTGTCCTGCCCCGCGGGGGGCGCTACATGTAGGTGGAGTCTGCGCCGGGCCCCGGGCCCGCGTCCTCTCCTTCGTCGCCGCTGCTGTCCTCGGTGCCCGAGTCGCTGGCGTGGTCCGCGTCCGAGGTGGGCGCGTTCAGCACCACCACGTCGGCTTCCGCCCCGATGTTCTCGCCGAACCACACGGCCTTGTAGCCGCCCTCGGGCCGCCGCTCCTTGGTCAGGATGGACCGCACGCCCGCGGCTCCGCCCTCGTCCCGGGCAGCCGCGGGGGCCTCGGGACCGGGGCCGGGGGACGCAGGGGCGCGCAGCACGGGAGACGGCGGCGCAGGTGGGACCTCGGCCAGGGCTTGGCCGGGCGGGGGGCTGGGGGCGGGCGCCCAGTTGGCCTCCTCGTGGTCCGGGAGGAAGGCCTTGTTGTCGAAGCCCTGGGGCTGGGGCTCCTGGGGCGGGGGTGGGGGGGAGCCAGGGCATCACCAGGGACCCCGAGCCCGGAGTCCAGGCGTCCCCGCTGCCCCCACCACCGCCCCACCTTTGGGGCTATGGTGTCTGCGCAACCACCTCTCCTCCCCGACCCCCACCCCTCCCCCGCTCTGCCGCTGCCTCTGCCCCCCACTTCCCACCACCCTGTCCCCGCCCCCGCCCCCGCCGCCCGCCGCCCGCCGCTGCCTCTCCACCGCCGTCCCTCGTGCGCCCCGTCCCCGCCCCCGGGGCCTCACCCGCGCTTTGCCAGAGCAGCAGGGCAGCCGCGGGCCGTAGTGCTTGCGCACCAGGACCGCCAGCGCGATGAGCGCCAGGAGCAGCAGCGCGCCCAGCACCCCGCCCAGGGCTGCCATCTCCGCCACTGAGAAGCGCTGGTCCTCCACGGGGCTGCCGCCTGGGGGGACCGCGCCAGTGCCTCCTCCAGTCCCAGGGGAGCCTGCAGGCCACGCCACCACTCACTGCGGGCTCAGCACCCAGCTCCCCGGGGCAGCTGCCTCAGGCTCGGGGCCCTGCGACTCGCCGGCCGGCGCCCCCAGCGCTCAGCTGCCCCCAGGGAGGCCGCTCCGCAGCGGGCCAGCCGGGCCGGGCCGGGGAGGGAGGCAAGGGCAGTGCCAGGGCCAGTGGAGCGAGCGGTCTGGGAACTGTGGGCCTCACTGCACCTCCAACCTGGCCCCTGGCCCCCCTCCACACGCCCCCAGTTTACCTCTTCGGGGCCTCCCAGGACCTGCGTGTCCCCCCAGACCAGGGCGCCCCGCTGTGGATTTCACAGGCGGCCTGGGGTAGGCCCTGCCCTGTCCTGGCTCCCAGCCGCCCAGTGTCATGAGTCAGGGAGAGAGGGCGGCTCCGGGGACTGCGGGTGCTGCCTGGGGGCAGGGGTCTGCGGGGCCCGCAGGGCATTGCCTGGCAGGTACCTGGGTTCGAGGTCCCTGCTGAGCCCCCGCCGGGCGGGGTTGATGAGGGGGAGGTGCTGATTCCCTCACTGGAGGATCCCCCAGGTGTGGACGAGGTAGGTGGTCTCAGAGTTGTCCCTGTGGGGGGGTGCGGGCCCGTGGTGCCCCCGGCGCTGGTCGTGGAGGGGCTCGGGGAAGGCCCGGGGGGCCCGGGGGCCCCCGAGGTGGAGTCGCCTGTGGGAGGGTGTGGGCCCACGGTGCCCCCGGCGCTGGTCGTGGAGGGGCTCGGGGAAGGCCCGGGGGGCCCGGGGGCCCCCGAGGTGGAGCTGCCTGTGGGCCGGGTGGTTCTTCCAGCCTCTGGGGTTGTGGGGGGGCCTGGGGACCGGGGACACAGCTTGGCTCGCTGCTGTCCCCGGCGCACCGGAGGTGAGAGGCCCTCCCCAAGGGTTGCCAGGCCTCCGAGGCTCACCCGTGGGGCCAGGCTGCGGCTCCGTGACTTCGACCTCCAGCACCGCGGTCGCTGTGTCCGACGTCGCTGTGTTGTTGGCCTCCACCTGGGGCAGGATGGGGCTTGTCCCTCTCAGGCCCCCTTCAGCGCCCGCCCCCCGCAGGGGCCGCCCGCCCGCACCTCTGCGTAGAAGAGCCCGGCCCGCTCCAGCGGGGCGGCCGTCAGCACCGCCTCCCCGTCTATCTGGAAGCTGGAGCTGTTGGTGACTCGGTAGCTGATGGCCGAGTTGATGTCCTGCGCGCAGACAGCCCCGGTGGGCCCCAGGACCGGGCCACCCCTCGGACCCCGCCCCGCCTGCGGAGGGGCCGGGCGCTACCTACTGGGAACTCGGGGTCCTGGGCGCAGACCCTCAGGGGCTGGGAGGGGCTGGCCGCATCCCTGACTGCCACGCCCACACCAGAGCCCAGCTCCACGGTGCCGCGGAACAGGCCCTGAGGGAAGTGCGGGGGTCTCCCCGAGGCAGCGCGGGCCTCCACTGTGACCTGGGTCACTGAGTAGCGGGCGCGGTCCTCCTGCTCGCCCTGCAGGGGGTGGGAAGGCAGCCGTGACCAGTGGGCCCTTGAGGCCGAGCCCGCAGCCCAGGGCTCGGGAAGGGCCCTTGGACACCTGGCCTGGAGACACACCTTGACCAGCAAAATGAAGGTTTGGGGATCGCCGACGCTCTGGGTCATGGTGAGGTTGCCGGAGTCAGCGTCGATGGCGAAGGTGCTGTCCTTGGCGTTTCCTGGGAGAATGGCAGGAGGGTTTGGCCCTGGCCCTCCAGAGGCAGGAGGTCCAGGGTCCCGGCGGGTTCTGCCACGTGGCCGGCGCCCTGGGGCACCCTCGCCCGCGGTGGGGATGGGTCTGGGGTCTGGGTGTCGTGTGGGGGGAGCTGGGTGGGCCCCCACTCACTTCTCAAGATGCTGTAGATGATACGCTGGTTGATGCCCCGGTCCCCGTCCACGGCATAGATGGGCCCAGGTCGCAAGATGAGGGGGCCCGGCTGCGGGGACCCAGAGAGGAGGGGAGTCCATGGGCTGGCGGGAGGGCCCCCCGCCCCCGGCCCCGGGCGCCGGAGCTCATCGCGGCCGCCCCTGCACTGCCATCCTGGAGGGGTGGCTTCCCGCGCACGAGCACGGCGTTGGGCAAGGCTGCTTTACAGAGCGGCGCGCACACTTGCATCAAAATCACAACCACACTGGGTGCCACCCTCGGCACGCACCCCCCGCCCCCCCGGCCCTGAGCCCAGCTCTGGACTTGGCCCTGCCCCTCCCGGTCCCCAGTACCAGTCTGTGGCCTGTGGGGATGGCCCCTCGGTACTGGGCCTGGACGCAGATCTGGGCGTCTTCGTAGACGCAAGGCAGGAACCAAGGCGGCCGCAGGTCCGCGGGCTGCACCTCCAGGACCACGGTGGCCGTGGCCGTGTGGCTGGGCACCGCGCCCTCCTCCTGGGTGTCCTGCAACCCCAGAGCCCCAACAGTCAGCCTGGGGGCCGGGGCCACTCCGGCGGGGACTTGAGGGGCCGGGACTCGGCCTCGGGGGCCGGGCCTGCTCACCCGCACCAGCAGCTGGAAGGTAACGTTCCTGTGCCTGTTGAAGTCCAGCGACTGGTTCAGCCGCAGGGCGGGGCGGTTCACACCCACCAAGGAGCACAGGCCGCCCGTGCCCTGGAGAGACGGTGCAGCAGCGCTGAGACCCTGGGGGGGCGGGGGGACGGGCACCCGGGGGCGGGGCGGGGGCGGGGCCGGGCGGGGCTGCTGACCGGGGTCACTTCCTGGAGGGTGTAGAATAAAGTGTCCTCTTTGTCAGCGTCCTGGGCTTCCAGCTCCGCCTCCGCGATGATGGTGGTGTTCACTTTCGTGTCCTGGGAGCGAAGGGAGTTTGGTCCGGTCACACCCAGGACCCCCGGGGACCCATCCCCGGGGTCAGCCCCCCAGCCCTCTGCGCTGCAGGCTCCGCACCCCGGGCTCCTGATGCCCCAGCCTCCCTAACACTTACCTCGGGGACCCCCTTGACCTTGACCTTAAAGGGGAACACGGGTGGGTTGTCATTGACATCCAACACGATAACAAACACATTCTGCTGGGTCACCTGCGGGGAGGGGGAGGTCAGCCTCCTCCCCACCGCCCCCCCGGGGCTGCCAGCAGCCCCGCTCCGTTTGCGGGGCGAAGCCGTCTCCGGCGGGGCCCACTGGCGAGCAGCAGAGGGGCCGCAAGACCCCGGGGAGCAGCGACACAGGGCTGAGGGTGCCGTGGCCAAGCCGCAAGTGAGGACGACACAGGACACGCCCGCCTGTCCCAACGGGACTCTCAGAGAAGAGAGAGGAGGTGGGGGCCTGGGTGGGAAGACTCGGCGCCCTCCGCTGCCGCCTCCGCCCGCCCTGGGGCCCTGGGGCCGCGGCCACCTCCCGGCGCCTCGGGGTGCAGAGCGCCTGCTTCCGTCCGGGGTGCGTGGCGACAGGGCGCGCCCTGCGATGCGTGAGGGGCGCGGCACCGTCAGCCTGGCGGGGCCCGTGGGTCCCCGCAGCCGGGTGGCCGAGCCCACCGCTGGGCCCCTGCCGCACAGGCCGCGCGCCCGCGGGTCCCCTCCATCGGAGGTGAGGCTGGCGGGGGGGCAGGCGGCGGGCACCCCGGGAGCAGGCGTTGGAATCAAGACAGCCCGAGACAGACGACCCTCCGCGACGCCTGTGGCTCCGACTCCGAGGGAGCGCGCGGCCCTGGGAGTCGGAGCAAGGACCCGGGGCGGGGCCGGGGGCGGGCGGGGCCCGGAGGGCGTGCCCGGACCGCCGGAGGGCTCCAGACACCCTGTGAGGGTTCGAGCCTCAGGCAGAGCCGAGGGCTCTGCTGACGGAGGAGGTGGGGAGGGGAGGCGCCGCGTGGGGTGGCGGGGTTTGTGGTCTCTGGCTCGGGGACGGCCCGCCTGGAGGACGTGTGGGTGTTGCCAGCACAGGGTGACACTTGAAAACGTGCCATTGGGTGAGGTCACTGGGGAGGGACGCGTGCCCGGGACGCTGAGCCGTCGCAGGGCGAGGGACGGCCCGTGGGGCCCCGGAAGGGCGGCGGGGGCTCGGACTCACCAGCTCGTCCCCGCGTTTGCACAGCAGCTGTGCCACCAGCGTCGTGTCCTCCTGTGGGGCGCACAGGAGTCAGGAGTCACCCGCCCGCTCGCGGGCGGGGGCGGCGGAGGCTGAGGGGTAGGGGCTGGCCGGGGGCCCGCGTCCCCGCTGAGTCCGGGGGGCATCGGGGTCCCAGGCAGCTTCATCTTCCAAGGGCCCCGGTCCCCTCGCGTCTGCCCCCGGCGAGGCCCTGGGGCCCTCGGGCGTCCGTCGCTGCCTGGGGGCGCGGGGCCCGCCTCCACCGGGGTGCCCGGGAGGCCCGCCACCCCCAGGCCCTGCCCCAGGCTCCCCGTCACCTCATAGTCAGGAGTGATGTTGAGGAAGAGCTGGTTCCCTTGGATCCGGAACGCGAAGGGGGTGGACGAGGGTCCAAGCGTCACCCGCTGGCCCTGGGGGACGATGATGTCTACCAGGGGCTCGCTGTGCTTCGTGTTCTCCTCAATCTCAAACAGGGTCTGGTTCACAGAGCAGGCTGGGGGGGGGCGGACAGCGGTCAGGGCCTCCCCGCCGCCTCCAGCTGCCCGCCCCGCCCGCCGCCCCAGCCAAGCCTACCCTGCGTCGGGGCCGCGGCCCAGAGCAGCGGCAGCAGCAGGGCCCAGGCCCCCATCTTGGGGCGGCGGGAGGGTCGGAGCCGCAGGTGTGCGGCCGTCCGTCTGGAGCCCTCTGAGCAGCCGCCTCCGGCGCTGCCTCTGCTAGGGCGACCTTCGCCCTTCGCCTCCGCGGCCCCGCCCCGCTTTACAGCCCTTTGCGCCAGAGTGACGTCCAGCAAGGGGGCTCCCGCGGGCCGCGGGCCAAGCGCCAGGCTGTCAGTTACGGGCAGGAGCCAGGTCCCGTGCGAGAGCCAACGGGGGCTCACCCACAGCTCCCGGGATGGGAGGCAGAGGGGAGCTCAGAGGACACTCAGCGCAGCCGGAGCCTTGGGGCAGGGGGTGCCCGGGGTCGCAGGGCCCGAAGGAGCATGGGGGTTGGGGGGTGTGGGGGGGTTTCGGGGCCGGGAAGAGGGGGCTGGCCGGGGCTGGCCTCTGGCGTCCACGTGTGCTCTACCTGCCCCAGCCCGGCCGCTCCTGCTCCTGCGAAACCCTCTCGGGGCGGATTCCCGCAGGCGACCCCGGGGCGCGCCCGGCTTCCCCCCAGGCTTCTTGCTCGCCCCACACCCGCCGTCCCTGTCTGGAAGGAGCCCGCTGTTTGGGCCCCGGCGACAGGCCCGCCTGCCCCAGAAGCGAGCCGACGCCCTCCAGGTGGAGCGGGCAGGGCCCATTCCGGGTGCTTCAGGGGGCCCAGCGTTCCCGGGGGCCCTGGTGCCCGACAGCAGGGTGACTCTGGCCCCCAGCTGCCCTGCCCTGGTCCTTCCTCGGACCCAAGCCCAGCATCCACGGAGGGGCCGCCCAGCGGGTCAGGAGGGAGGGGCTGGGTCCCGTCCCCCAGCTCCTGCGCCTCCTGTGCCGCGACAGCCGCTCCTCCCGCAGCCCCAGCAGCTGCTGGGGCGGCATCGCTGGCCGCGCGCGTGGCCTCGACAGGGGCCAGGGCCCCCGGGCTGTGGGGACACCCCCTCCCCCGCACCTGTCACCTCTGCCAGCCCATCCGGGGCCCCCTCACCCCTCCCATGTTGCCCCCCCACGTCTGCTGAGTGGGGGACAAGGGGTGAGGGAGGGGCCCCGGGGAGGTCAGCCGATGGGACGGGACGGGCGGCCCCAATGCCAGCGATAAGGGATGGGGCAGGCGGGGTGCCCGCCGGCGCCGGGTTTAAAGGGCAGCCGGGCGTGGCCTCGGGCTGGACTCCACAGACGAACGGGCTTCCGTCCCTCGGATGCTGTGCCCACAGTGCTGCCTCGGCGGCGCCTCGATGGCACGGGGGTGGGGGGGGGCACACAGCGGGCTCACCAGGCCAGGGTCTGAATTATTCCTTTATTGGTGCCAAGGGCAACCGCTGCCCCCCTCCCCACGCAGGCTCCCCCGGACCACAGAGGGGGGCTGCTGCGTCCTCAAGGCCCCCTCAGGGCCGCGGCAGGCGTGGCAGGGCCTGGAGCCACGGCTGCAACTCTCAGTCTGGGACACAGCCAGGGAGACCAGGCCTGGTCCGGGGGCAGCCTGGCGGGCACCCTGTGGAGACAGCGGGTCAGGGGCTGCAGCTTGACGTCGCAGACCCTGCCCTCGTGAGCGGGCCGCGTTTCCCTCCCCGGGCCCCCGGCCCCCAGCCTGTCCAGCTCCCGCCCGGCCCAGGGTGCGAGGGCGGGCGGTGTCGCTCACCAGGCCTGCAGGGCGGGCAGGGCGGGCCACAGCACGCAGACCGGGCCCTCGGGGAGTTTGGTCCAGGCCGTGCCGTTCTCTGCGTCCTGCTCGCTGCCCCCACCCCCAGATCAACGTGAGTCCTGGACTTGGGGGCGTGGCCCCCCAGGCCGGCCTGTCCCCCTCCGTGGCGCCGCCGCGCCTCACCTGCGCTTCCCGATCAGGCCCTGGAGCAGCCGCTGCAGCCGGGCGCTCTCCCGCAGGCGGCTGAGCTCGCTGGTGAACGTCCCGTCCGAGTGTCGCAGGGCCCTGGGGGTGGGGGGGCGTGGCGCAGCCGCCGGAGCGTGAGGGCCGGGCCGGCGCGGGGGGCGCAGCGCGGGGCGCGCGAGCGTGGGTCAGGAGGCGCGGCTCACCTGCGGGGCGCGGGGCGCGCCGCGGAGCCTCGGAGCAGCGGCGTCAGCAGCAGCAGCAGCAGCAGCTGCGGGGTCCGGGGGGCCATGGTGGGCGCTCGGGGTGCGGGCGCTGCTGCCCTGGCTTGAGCTCGCGGGGCCCTTATAGCCGCGCCCGCGGGGGGCGGGGGGTGGTGGCGCAGGCACCGCCCCGGCTCCGCGCTGCCCCGGCCGCCCCATCGATCCGCGGGAAGGTCCGGTCGGCCCCCCATCTGTCGTCCCAGCCGCCGGGCCGCCCCCCAGTCTCGCCCGGCTGGCGCCCCTGGGCGGACGGGCGGGCCCGCGGGGGCGGGGGGTGCGGACGGCGCGGCGGTGCAAAGCCCGGAGCCTTGCGCCCCGGCCTGGGAGGCGCTCAGGAGACCCCGGCCGTCCGGGCGGCGAGGCGACCCAAGGTGGCGGTACCCCGGGGGTACCCCGCAGGCGGTGCGCGCTCGGGCGGGGCGGCGGGTCCCTCGGCCTCAGCAGGACGGGGCTAAGCTCGAAAATGAAGCTATAAACCCGTGATTGTGTTAAACCTCATGTGCGTCTCACATATAACCAGGAGACGTTGTTCAGAGCCAGTTAGGGTTCCGGGGCGGCTCAGCCGAAATGCAGAGCCGGGGCACCCCGCCCCCGGCCCCAGCACCTCCAGCGCCGGCCGCATCGGTACAGCTGATGCGCCAACGTCGCTTCATGGCTGCTCAGCCCGCAGCCGGCAGGACGGTCCCCGGGGCGCTGTCCGTCCTGCGGGTCCAGACGAACGTGACCCGGCCGGTGTCCGTCCTCGGCGCGGTCTCACCGTCTGCGCGCCCCGCGGCCGTGGGTGAGACCCCTGCTGCCCCGGGGCCCCGCGCCGGCGGTGCCCGCGCTGAGGACGCGGGGCATTTGGGGGGGGGGCGTGCAGTGGAGTCTCCTTTCCCCGTCTGTTTAAACAGCCGCTGCGACTTGTTCTTGCACAAACTTGGCAGGTTAAAATCTAAGCTTTTACACCATTGTCCGATTAATTACATTCATGAGAACGTTCCTGGTTCTCATTTCATTGGTTGAACTGCTTAGTGGCTCCAGCCCTCAAGTAAACAGGCAGATCTTCATAAGAGGCATCTTCCTATTCTTAAAACAATTCACCTGCAGAAAGCGTGGTTTTAAAAATCGACCGTGGAGTTCCCGCACAGTAAGGAACGGATTCTGAGGGGCGCACAGACGCGCGCCAGACAGCTCCGCCGGGAAGCAGGACGCGCCGCGTGCGCCCCGAGGCCGCCCCCCTGCTGCCCCCTGCGGCCGCCCCCACGGCCGGGGCCCCTCGGGTCACGCCGCACGAGGTCACAGGCAGTCGCTACCAAGAGGGACAGAGGGGGGCTGGGCCCTGCGTGTTCCTCCCCCTCGGGCTCTGTGACTGCCTTCATCCCACTTCCTGTCCCTGCTGCGGAGGAGGTTTCCCCGTGTCCCCGAAAGCCACACATGGCCCCTGCGTGAAGGTGCCGCCGCGCGTGAGTGTGGGCAGGGCGGTGGTGTGTCCGGGCCTTTCCGTGCCCCGCTGGGCGGCTGTGACCGAGAAGGAGAGGGCGTGAGGGGTCCCGTGCGGCCCCCCCCCTCCCGGGGGGGCACTGCTGACAGACGCGCTTCAACGGCAGATGCCGCGTGCAGCCCGCGGACGGGAGCGAGCGAGCGAGCGAGCCCCGCTCCGCCGGCACCCAGGACGGCCCCTGTGCTGCTGGGTGCCCGAGCGGGCCCCGCGCCGAGGTGCAGAAACGCCCGCTTCCGTGAGCGGCGCCTCAGATCCCACCGCGCTCCGCGGGGGGGCCCGATGACGCCCATTCCAGGATCCCGGGTTCTAAGGATCATAAGACGCTCATGCTTTCCAGTGTCGAGTGCGGGAGGGGCCTTCCTGGCACAGTTAAGAATTCAGTTCATCGCTTCCTTTCCTGAGGAAGCAAAGCACAGGAGCTGTTCTCTACGCCTGTTTTGTTTTAACCAAGATTTAAATGTCAAATTTAAGCCACTCCTATCTCCTCTGCGACCGGGACCAGGGTGCGGCAGGAGGGCGCTTCCCCCCGCCCCTGAACACTCCTTTCTCCCGCAGCCGCGGGCGGGCAGAGCCCCGTCCGAGGCCGGCGAGGGTCAGGGCGTGAGCCTGGGCCACAGAGGAACCTAGTGACCTCGCTGTCACTGAGGGGACTCGCTGTCGCGAGCCCCGCTGAGGACTGGAGGAAGGAACATCACCACGGAGAATTTAAAACATACAGAAGTAGACCGCACAGCATAATGAACTCGCCTTCAGCAATTTACGACCAATCTTATCGACTCTGTCTACTTCCTCTATTTTTTCAAAATTGATTTCGGAGCAGATGGCGGAAATTGTACTATTTCCTCTGTAAGGACACAGTGCACATGTCGGAAAGAGAAGGACTGTCAGCTGATAGACCCCTGACCCCTGACAGAGACCCCGACGGCCCCCGTGGATCAGCAAAGCCGAGTCATCGAGCCCTAGTGCGGAAGAGCCCAGCCGGGGTCGGGGTGGGGGGTCCCGGCATCTGCGGGGATCAGGGATGAGGCAGGACGGCCTTAGAGGGGCCTTTCCGAGGGGGCCTGGCGGGCGGGGGGGGGGGGGCTCAGGGACACGGGTCTCATCATCAACGTGGTGCTGCATCCGCGGTTTTAAACTTCGTGTGTCCTGCTTTCGGTGACGATGCAGCGCGGCACAGGGCGGTGTCTTTCCAAGGCTGCCGCCCAAAGCCCCGCTGCTGTTTGTCCCGGACGCAGATCTGGGACGCACGGTGTCCGTGGTGCGGTGGGGTGGCTCTGTGTTTTCCTTTTCCAGGTTGTTTTGGGTATTTGGGTTCCTTACCATTTCATATGCCTCGTAGGATGGGATTTTCCATTTTTCGAAAAAATAAGAAAGCTGTCAGGGTCTTGGCAGCGAGCCTATACAATCGGAATCCGTCTGTGGAGAAAGCCCACCCAGTCCCTGAACACGGGGCACCCCGTTCGGGCCTCCCTTAACCCTTTCCAGCGACGTTGTGTAGTTTTCAGGGTACAAGTCTTTTACCTTCTTAGTTAAATGTGTTCCTCGGTTATTTTATTCTTTCCGATGTAATGAATGACTTTTTAGAAAACCTTTTACAGATTTTATTTACGAATTTTTAGAGACAAGGGGAAGAGGGGCACTGACGCCCGGAGCCACGCGCCGCTGTGGGCGGCCGTCGGGGAGAGCCGGCCCCCGGACCGAGGCGGTTCGCGCTTCGCCCCCACTCGGGGCGACGGGGAGCAGGCGTCCCGTTAACGCCACTTGCCAACCACACCCGAGGACCACGGAAGCGGGTGAGTGAGCTCAGTGTGGCCCATCAGCATGAAGGTGACGGATAGTCTTTTCTTTTTTGAAGATTTTATTTATTTACTTCTTAGAAAGAGGGGAAGGGAGGGAGAGAAACATCCATGTGTGGCTGCCTCACGTGCGCCCCCTGCTGGGGACCCAGCCCGCAACCCAGGCCTGTGCGCTGACTGGGAATCGAACCGGCGACCCCTTGGTCCGCAGGCCGGCGCTCAGTCCACTGAGCCGCGCCAGTCGGGGCAATGCATGATTTTCTTAACTTGATTTTTTGATTTTTCATTGCTAATGTACAGAAATGCGACTAGTCTTTATACGTTCGCTTATGCTCTGCCACTTTGCTGTATTTGTGTATGAGCCCTGACAGGTTTTATGGCTTTTCAAATTTTCTACACACACAGTCACCTGCGAGTAGCAAGAGCCTCCTTTCCCTCCCCACGAGGGACGCTTCGGCCTCCCGCCCGCCCCTGCGGGCACCCGAACCCCCAGGGCCACGCTGACGGCCGCACCGAGCACGAGCAGCCCGGCCGCCCGCCTGGGAGCGGAGAGCCCGCCTCGGCCCTGCGGGCGATGGGCCGTGTGTTCTCCGCACGTGACGTTCATCACGTTGAGGGAGTCGCCTTCTCTCCTGCGATTGTGGAGTCTTTCATCACGGAAACGTGTTGGGTTCTGTCAGAGGCCTTCTCTGCTCCCACCGAGACCGTGTAACGGTCCCCCGGCCCCTGCCCGCGGGTGCGCCGACGGCACCCGTCGCCCCTCCCTGAGCGGTCCCCATCCGGTCGCGGCGAACAGTCCTGAGAAAGAGGCTGCCCAGTGCCGTTCGCGCTTTCTTGTGAGGAGTTTTGTGTCTGGAGCCCTAGGAATGTTCCCTGTGTTGTGACGTCATCGCTGTTTGTTTTTAAATCCTCGACGGTCCCCACATTTATTGACTTTGGGGGGTCAGGTGCCTGCCGTCCGCACTCCAACGGGGGGCTGCACCTGCGACCCCGGCGCGCGCCCGGCCCGGGGCCCAGCCGTCCCGGGGCACGGGCGACACCGACCACCGAGCCGCCGGGCCGCCGCCGGCACCCCACTCGGAGAGCCCCTCGTGCGTCCTCTGTGCGGCCGATTGGCTGGTATTTCCTCTTGTCCGTGGCTGGAAGTTTTCGGTTTTCAGGAAGCCCAGTTTGTTTGTTCTTTAATTTGTAAATCACGCTTCCAGTGGCGCATCTAAAAATCTCTTTGCCTAGGTCCTGGTCGCCGAGGTTTTCTCCCAGCTTTGCTTCGGAAATTGTTATAGTTTTAGGTTTATATTTAAATCTGTGATTCATCTTGGGTTCGTTTTCATTTGTGTTTTCTTTCTTCTTCTTTTTTTGAGTTCATTTTTAAGGGAAGCGCGAGGCTGAGATCAAGGGTCCTGGGGCGGGGGTGCACTTGGAAGTTAAACGGCGCAGTTCCAAGTCACCTGTGGGCCACGGGGGTGTCGGGGGAAGCAGGAAGTATTTTGACCTGAACAAAATTGAAAACACAGAAACGAGGGGGATGTGTCTTAGAGGGAAATTTGTAGCCTTGCGTGCTGGCAATACAGAAGAGTGTCTCAGAGAAGTGGCCTTAAGAGACTAGAAAAAGGGCCCTGGCCGGGGCGGCTCCGGTGGTTAGAGCATCGTCCCGTAAACCAGAAGGTCGCAGGTTTGATTCCCAGTCAGGGCACATGGCCAGGGCACAGGCCTGGGTTGCGAGTTCAGTCCCCGGTCAGGGTGCGTATGG